TTCAATTAAGATCAGATTTTAATCTCAAATATTTATTTTAATGCTGACATTATTTTTATTCTGGTATAATAATTTTTCTTTTGTATTTTTTTCAGTTAGCTAACTTTTTTTTTTTTTCAATCCCCATAAATAATAGACTATTCTATTTTGTTTGCATAGTGTTTTGGAAAAGACATATCAGAGATGCTACTTGGTTTCCATGAAAAAAAAAAAAAAGGAAAAAGGGGACCTGGGAAAACCAGCAATTAAGAGGTGGTTCATGCTCCTCAAAACCTCCTGATCAAATCTTTTCATTTGTTGGACCGTACTTTTAAAATCTTACCAGCAATCTCTACTAAGGGTGGACCAGAATTTTTCTGGATTCCAAACATGACTGTTAATATAGACCAGCACCCAGATGTACCCTATTTCCGGTTTTGTTGCTACTTGATCTCTAAATATCCCTAATTCATCCCTTTACTTGCCTTCAGTTAAAGTGGATGCCGCTTAGAAGATGAAACTTCAAAAGGAACCATCCACTGGTCCATCAAACAAATACTTGAGGTTGAGATAAAATCACCTCTTCTCTTTTTACATAGTTGATGATGAAAATATATATAAAAATAATCAATTTAAATATTTGAAATAGCACATAACTAAAAAAAAAAAAAAAAAAAAAAAAAAAAAAATTAAAACAAAATTGCTCATTGAGTAAAAAAATGACCCCCCCCATACACAATCATTTTTTTTACAGTTGGTTTGTAGATCAAATATATTTTTGTGCATGTTTGTGAGAGTGAGGGAGCGGGTAGGTGTAATTGTATCCACTCACTTATCAAATGACCTAACAGCATATAGTACAATATCTTTTTTTGATATGTCTTGCATGTATGGTTTGCTATTATCAATGGAGTTATCCATCTAAAGGAAATGTATTGACTTTGAATAATGAGCTCCTAGTGTAATATCATTTAGAAGGAAAAACACAAAACTAAAAAATAAATTTCTTTTGATATAGGACCATTTTAAGAATTGATTGGAAAATGAAATAAAAATTAAATCTAAGTATGTAAATATTTGTGCTGACATGACATCTTAATAGATATCAAGTTGGATTGCAAACAAAAACAGCATTAAAAAATTATCAGGATATATTAGCCACCTTACAGAAGGCCAGAGAATGTATAGGCTGAAATATTATCTTAATAGTAACCCACAAGAAAATTATTTATAATTTATTCCTTGATGAAGATTAAAATGAAAGCTGGCAACTTTTTTTTTAATATTTTCTGAAATTCTTTAAAAAAAAAAAAAAATCTTTTTAAAAGAATTTCAGAAAAAATATTTATCATGAAAAAATGATTTGCTTTTTCTCTTAACTACAAGGTGTGGCAGAAATACCTTCCACAGAATGTTAAGACATTAGTGTCAATGGGGTCTTCATTTACTAAATGTTTTACCATAATGTGGGTGGTATTTCTGCCACATCTGGTATAATAAGATTTACTTTTTGCTCTGTTCATAAAATAAAAATAAAAATTTAATGTGTAAATGAGTTGATTTACACAAGCAAATGAAATTTAATCAGTGAAAGGATGAACAAATGCAAGGATAATTAATTAATAGATTTATAAACAGCAACATATACAAGAAGAGAATGAAGGCAATTGTAAGCTTTTAGTTGAGTTTGCTTAACTTGACTCATGATGTTAACCTTATGTTTTAAGATGGCTTTTATGGATGTCTTCAATAAACAAAAGAGGTTCAATTTAAGATAGGGTTTTTGGTGCCAACAGAAGCTGGCTTCTCATTGGCTGGTATAATTTGTGGGTCTAAAGTAGGGGAAGATAACTCTATTCCCATTGTAACTTAAACTTCCATTTGTAGATTAGCATTCATTAGATCTACATATGATATTAATCAAAATCAAAAAATATTGATTTTTATGATTTTAGGAGTGGGGTCCTGTTTATAATATAAATATAGTGTCAAATTCAACTTGTTAGAGTTATCTGTACTTTGATTTATTTACAAATGCCAAGTTTGAAACTGTGCTTATGTCATTGACAACTGTGTACTATGAATGATGTCCTTTTTCCACAATTTTTTAGGGGAAGACCAGTCAATTTAAATAGTGCTGACATACTGGCAATGTTTAACCATTGTGCCCACAAAAAATGGTGTGTCAAAAGGGTAATTATTCACTTGTCACTGCTATTACTGTGTCCACTTTTGACTCCCTTGGCAATGTTTATGGATTTAAAAAGTGATGATTAGAATTTTTAATAAAACCAAACATGAAAGTAGATACATTTTCTTTATTGTTGACAATAAATATATTAAACATTATTTATTAAATCGCTTTACAAATATAATTTTCTATTTACAAGATTACAAAAATATGTGAATCAACTATAATGAAATATTTATCATTTTCCATTTTATAAAGAAATAAATATGAAAAGACATTTTTATTCATATATTTATAAAAATGTCTGAACAAGAAAATTTAAGTAAACACATAAGGAATAACTAATTATAAATTTTTGAAAAAAGATTTTCCTGTGTATTTCTTTCATTTACTCTCCACACATGAATCGACTAAAATAGATTAAGAGCATCTCTTCTGAACCAAACATTTTTAATTTATGTTTTCCATGTTTATTCAAATTTTCTTGTTCTATAGTTATTTATAAGATGGTAAATAATAAAAATAGCATTGTTGTCGGAAATTATTGAAATTTCTTATATTTTGATAATATTGTAATTTCTTATAAATTTTTGAATAAAAAGATTTCTTTTCAAATTTATTTCTTCATAAAATGTTAAATAATAACTCTTTATAAAAAGATAATTGCATTGTACTTGGTTCACATATTTTTATTATATTGTAAATAAACACTGCTGAGGGAGTTAAAAGTGTATACAGTAATAGCGATGTCAATGGTATAACTATCCTTTTGACACACTTTTTTTTTTTTTTTTTTATTTGAGTATGAATGTTAAACATTACTGACCTATTTTCCACTGACAAAATTAAAATTAAATTAAAAGGCAGTCTTTCCCATTTGGAAGACTGGAGCTATATAATCTTTCTATTCCCTTTTCTACAATTTGCCTTTTATGTTACATGAGGATAAGTGGTTAGTACATAATAAAGAAGAAACAACTTGTTTGTTCATAAAAGGTACAAATGTTAATACACCACCTGTCATAGTCTTGGCATACATTTCCCACAGCTCTAATTGCCTGCATGTACTGGTTTGGCTGATATGGATCCATGTAATGTAAAGAATCCGGCTTTCTGGGATTGCCATTGGAACCAGTAAAATCAACTGCCACCTGAAATTTGACAAGTCACAAGAAAAATTAAGTTACATTATTTGATAATTCAAGTGGTTGGAATGTCAAACTTAACCCTTTATTTCACTCATTGGGGTAAACTGTTCTAGTTCCACGTGCCATGTTTTAATAGATGTCAGTTATCGCCTGTTAATTTCCCTCTGAAAGTTCTCCACTGCCTTAACCGGATATTGAACTCACACTCTTTGGGTCCTGTCAATGAATCTAAACAATGCCTTTATCCATGTGCCCAGTGAGCGAAATAAAAAGGTTAAGTTTGATATTCCAACCATCTGAAGAAGGCCGGAGCATACAACAGCCGAAATGTTGTAATAAATTTTTTTTGTGATGTCTTATCAGTGAAATATCTTGACAGATGCTCCAGAACAATCATTACACTAAATGCCTTCAACATTATCTACAAATTGTCTTGGATCACTCTCTGATTAATTGCCAAACTTAGAAAACAGTAATTTCTTTTGATATTGTGACGAATGCAGACAGCATAGACACGCATATATTAAGGTTAATTTCCGCCTAGCAACAGAATAGAGGTCACGTGGAAGTCTTATGACATTTTGGAGAAAGCAAGTCAAAAGGTTGACTGACCCAATTACCCGTAGCAACAAATGTCTAGGCAGAAGCTAGACAGGGGACTGATGTAAGCTGGAATTCGCGCCAAAACTTAAGACACGTGATAGTCAGAGATCCACTTGGGAATTAGTTGCTATCTTGACTTTGAAGGAGCAAGACCTGAAGTCAAAGTGCTGATAGTTTACGAACGGAAAGATAAGACTCATTTGATAGTGATGGAACTTATCCAGTTCAACCCAGGCAACTCCGGACAAGAAATATAAGAAGTATTTCTGTTCGATAAGCCCAAATTGAAGACGTAGAGAAATTTAAATGAAGTGAACCTGGGAAAAGATTACTGTTCGATTATCCTAATCAAACAGTGTTCTTAAAAATATTTTTGTTTACCAATTGTCCATTGTCACGATCTGAGAGAGAGAGCCTGTATCTCTCCACAGGTGTGAGAATGTATGTATATCTTCTGGTTGGCGTATGATCGCCTTATAAACCCATTCGTTGACTAGAGCATATGACAATATCTTGTCAGCCACTCTAGGACAATTATTACATTAAATGCCTTTATTATCTATAAATTGTCTAGAATCATTCTCTGATTATTTGCCAGAGTAAGGCCATAGAAAATTCTTGCAACATATTCCATCACTCTCAAGTGGTTGACTGTAACACCCACAGCTTTGTGTGGTTGCTTTTTATGAAAATTTTTATTCATGCTGAGTCATATTTGTCTGTTAGGAATTTAAAATTCAATCATTTGCATAGGATAAATTAAAAACAAGCAAGTGGCTTCAGATTAAACTGTACTCGCTAAATTAGCAACAAGAAGAGCAACACTTTGACAGTGGACTGGAGTGAAGGACATAATCAAGATCATCAAGAAGGTTAAGCATACAGGGTGATTGAAAACTAATTCCCTATTTTATGTATGAGTGACCAGCCAGAAGTCCTGACTTAACACCCTGTGACTTTTTTTATTTGGAGTTTGTTAAAGGAGCAAGTCTATTATACCAAACCAGGACTTTGGAAGAACTTGAAGGGCGAATACAAGAAGTTATGTCTTCCATATCACAAGAGTTTCTGGTGAAATCAGTTAACACAATTCCTGGGCAGCTCAAGAAGCTTGTAGCAAAATCTGGTGCCCATATCGAATTTTAAATAAAACCTCATGCTAAATACTTTCCTCTCATATCTATTTCTTGTAAAAATTATGGTTAATAAATATATATTTATAATATTTATATTTTAAAATGGGAAGTTACTTTTCAAATCATCTTATAGATGGGCTGGCAAATATCTCTCAGAGACAACAAGTGAATTATTAGCACAACAGAGTGGACACCAAGGCAGTTAAAAAGATCTAAAGAGTAGCAAAAAGCAAGATGGTTTAACAATCTAACCCCGTACCTCGGCCCAGTATGGCCAGAGATAGGAAGTAATTCAGATATATGAAGAATATAGCTGAAGAATTGATCAACTACCAAAATGGTAAAAGATAATGGTGAGATTTAGCGGTTTCCATATAATATATATAATATAATATATAAGTAAAAAAAAAGTAAAACATGTAAGTAATTATATATATAATATATATAAGTAATTATATGTTTTATATAATATAATATAATATAATATATATAAAATATATAAGTAAAAAAGTAAAACATAAGTAAAAAAAAAATTAACCAACCAAACAGCAGTTATTGTTAGTAAAAATTTATAGAATCCTTCTTAAAACTGTATTTTTCTTTTTATGAAAAAAAGTTTTCTCAAATCCACTAGCTGTTATTGCTCTTTCTAATATTAATGAAGGTTTCCATCATAACGTTTTATTTAATCTTTAGCACTTTGTAGGTGATTCTCTTTGCCAAGCAAAATGTTAGTCCTGCCTAAATTTTAATTTTTTGTTTGTGAAGTCATACCCTTGTATGGGAATGCCTAAAACAATCTTGACTGAAATTGATAGTCAGGCTACTGTAGTTTCAAATATATAGAACTAATATATAAAACACTATATTTTGATGGGGATTCCATATACAGGAAGTAATATTTATAAATGATGCAGAGTGCTAAATGTTAAAATAGCGTAGAAAGCCAACATCTTGATTATATAATTATTTTCTCTTAGAGTTATGTGTGCTATTGAAAGTTTTCAAGGGATATGGCTTTTGATATTTGGTAAAGTTCTTTGTGATTCTGTAGTGCTAGTCTATGAGATCTGATGAAGTAGATTTTGCTTTAAGACCTACAGGATTCATTTACATGAAGCCATTTTTAATTATTGATCTGAGAAAACTATTGTATACAGATGATGGTTGAAACAGTTTTGAATGAGTTGTATGGCATACATGGCATCCATATGAGAATTTAAATCTGACAAGGTTATTTAAGAACATGATTTGAGATATTGGGTTAATGTCCTGCTTTTGTAGCATTTTGTGATGTTGGACAAAAGTATTCCTACTATCTATTCTATGATCAATTTACTTATCTCTTATATTTTAATAAAAAAAAAAAAATACACCAAAATAGGTAAAGAAAAACTAGTCAAAATATCAGCATGTATCAAAAGTCAGTAATAAAGAGTGCCAGAGAAAAGCAATGATAACAACATAGTTGCAATATGAGCCCTGGTAAAAACATGCAATAACAGCAAAATTGCAATATGAGCACTGGTAAAAATGGTTTCCAGTGACCCCTTAATTGCTTCCAGCTAACTCCACAGCCCTGGTTCTATCAATGTTGAGAATACCAAAGACAGAACACATGAGAAATGAAGTTTTAAGGAGAATAGGAACTACAAAAAAAAGAGACATCTGAAATTTCTGGGACATAAAGAAAAGGGTGAGAATTTAGCACACACAGGACATATTGAACCAGAGAGGAAAACAGAAAGTAACCTACTAAACAAGTTAGTGTGAATGGATGAAGAACAGAGACAAAGAAATGGTGAAGGATTAAAAGCTACTTAGAGCAACAAAAGGCAGGAAGTTGTGGAGAGACATGAGTGTCCATCTGAAAGGAATGAAATTCTGGCTATTTTGAGGCTTTATTATAAATTGGGCCTCAGAGTTGTTGAAGCTGATTTCATAGCTCTAAGAATGGAAGGAGAAAAATTTTTAAACCCTTTTCTTTCTTTTTATGTGCCATGTCCTTTCCCTCTGCTTCCTCCCCCAGACTGTGTTCTATCATCCACTTGCTTAACTCCGCCAAGTATGTCACATGTTGTTTTCCCTTGTCTCTCTTTCCCTCTATTCGACCAGTGAGTATCAGATTCTCCAGGCCCTCCTTACTCATTATGTGTCCCAGAAAATTCAGCTGCCTCTTTATGATGTTAAGTATAACCTCCTCCTTGTTTCCAACCTAAGATCTCATTGTTGCTCAGATGCTCGGTCGATGATATCCTTGGCATCCTTCTGTAGAACCACATCTGTCACCTCGAGCCTTCTTCTTTGAGGAAATCGTTCAACATTTGCTGCCGTAAAGGACAGATGTCACGTAACAGTTCAATATTCTTTTCTTTGTTACCAAAGATATCCTTCTATCTTGCAGTACTCTGCCCAGCTTTTGGAATGTGTCCTTGGCCATCCCAATACACCTATGGATCTCAGTGTCAAGATGCTTCCCAAGTATTTAAACTTACGCGTATGCTTGATTCTAGTGTTCCCGACCTTCAGATTGCATTTCGGGCTAACACATTTTTAAATGTAGTGACTTGTCTATTGAAATAAATCCCAGAAGTGGATGACCATCAGTTATCAATTATGTTGATTTAACCCTTCTTAAATAGCCTCATCAAGACTTTCATATGGATGCCATGCACGGCAACAAATCCATTTAAAAATATCTCAACTGTCTGTTGTATTCAACTGCTTTCTAAGATCAAAAAGTAAAAATTATTTTGATCAAGTGAAACCTGTAGAACTTGGCAAAGATAATACTTCTTCAAATCTCATGAATTCGTGCTACAGAATCACAAACAAAGAACTGTACCAAATAACAGAAACCACATCAATTGATGATTTTCAACAGCAGTAACAAAGAAAATGGATAGCACATGTAGCACAGTATTACAGAATCACAAAGAACCGTACCAGATAATAGAAACCATATTACTTGAGAACTTTCAATAGCAGTAACAACCAAAATAGATATCAACTTGAAGAGAAAATAACAGCGTAGTCAAGATGTTGACATTCCACACTACTTCAAATAAAAGTTTAGAAAGAAAACCACCATCAATACTGGAAAGGGCGATAACAGCTACTGGACATGAGAAACCTATTTTCCTGAAAAATTATTTTAAGAGAAAGATTTTATAAATTTCAACCAACAGTAGTACAAACTGTTCAGTTAATGAATGCTGAATGTTTCCTTATAAGGAAACAGTTAATATTACCATTTAACACCAGAAATGCCCAACAGTGTCCACAAATTTCCCCACACTTATAGTCTGGGTGCAGCTGAATGTGCAATTTGGTAGTGGTTTTTTTTTTTCAATATGCACAGTTAACAGAATTGCTGAAAATCTAGAACTTTTATAAAATTAGGGATTTTCAAAAGTATATTTTATAACAAGTCATAACAAGGGGGTTAAAGTGTAATGTAGAAGAGAACCTAGTCATCTGCAATTAAAAAGAAAAAAAAACGAAAAAGATCAAGGATAATCAAAAAATACCATATGTGAATTATATAAAAAATTAAAAAAAAAAAAAAAAAAAAAATGGAGTTGTTTAAAAAGTCAAAATGTATTAATAATTCTAAATGCCAGTCAGTCAGTTATGCGCCATGAGTGATAAACACGTAGGCGATCATGTATTTTTCGATACATGACTGACGAGGCAGATTTTTTTCCCCACAGTAGGTTGCCGTTTCTTTCTGTGGTAGACCAGTTGCCATCCAAGGCTATAGAACCCGGTCTGTCCTGCTATTTGCACATAGCTAGATGGGGAGGAGAGGAGGATTCATACCTTCCCCAAGCATATTAGAACGTAAGGAAAGGAGATATTTGAAAATATCCTGGACACATATTTATATTTCGGTAAATTTCAATAGCGGTTTTGATTCAATTTGACTGGAATTCGAACTCGGCTGTCCGATTCCTCAATCCGAGCCACTATCCATTACTCCACCATGAGTGCGAACTGCAAATCTGAGACCAGTTATGTGCCATGCGTGATACACACTTAGGCGATCATGTATTTTTTGATACATGACTGATGAGGCAGATTTTTTTCCCTGCAGTAGGTTGCCATTTCTTTCTCTGGTAGACTAGTTGCCATCCAAGGCTATAGAACCTGGTCTGTCCTGCTATTTACCTATAGCTGGGATAGAAGAGGAGGATTCATACCTTTCCCAAGGGTATTAGCACGTAAGTGAATGTAATAGATTTGACTGGAATTCGAACTTGAACTTTCCTACTCAATCCAAGCCACTATCCATTACTCCACCGTGCCTCATCTAATTCTAACTGTAAGCCTCCCAAATCAAGAAAAATAAAATGAAATTTCCAAGCCATTAGGTTATGGAAACAATGAATTGACAAGGCACTTAAACATGGAAAACAATTAATCACCCTTCCATGCTATTCAGAAAAGAAAAAAAAAAATAATTAAATATTTTATTGATATGGGTTGAATGTGATGTGCAAAAATTTTTAATATTTTAACTTGGAAAGAAAAAGCAAAAATAATGGTTGTCAAGAGAAATATTTCAACATACGGTAAAATTAATCTGCATTCCTCCAAAGATATACTCCAAAAATGAAGTTAGCTTCATGACCTGAAAGAGAAAAGATTCATGTCAGAGGTCAATATACAATGATCTCAAAAGACTTTTAAGAGAACATCTTTGCATTTTATACAGGCACTGCAATTCAAATACTTTTCTGGTGCACTCTAGCTCTGTGTAGCAATTTTAAACATGACGGTACTTTAGACTATTTTAAATACCAGCACACACAAAAAATCTACATAAAGCGCAGCGTCTGTCCATTTTTCGATCTCGGCAAATCATAAACAACATGAACTAACAGGTAATAACTATTGTCATTAGACACAATTAGAAAAATTAAATTAGAAATTAAATAAATAACTCATTTAAAGTTAAATATCAAAAAGAATGAAAGGTTTAAACAATTCTTTATAAAAGGTTTAACTTTAATTTTGCTTTTCATTGCAGTTGCAATTAATATTGCCTAATTAAACTGTAATTAAAACTCAATTGGGGCATGGTAGGTTGCTCATATGATTTTTTTCTTTTTCTAGCACACATACATAGTTTGGGTTCTCTAATATCTTTTAAGAGCGACTTTATATGAAGGGATCATAAAGAATGGTGATTTTAAAAGAAAAAAATAACATGCAAAATGTAGACAGACTACAGAGATTGGTTGTGTATATGAAGAAAGATTATGCCAAATTAAGATATTGAATAAAGATAAAATAATTTGATTATTTCTAAATTCTTATAACTTTTACCCACATAGGATGCAGAAGGTAAAAAAAACAAAAAAACAAAGGATCAAAATCCCTCTGCGGGAGATGGTCAAAACAACATTAAACAGGAACTGCAAACAGTTTATCGACAATTTTGATTTAGATGGACAACATCTTATTTGAAAATTGGAAAAATACAACAAAAAAATTAAATAGACAAACCTTGTCAGTCAAATTTAAACAAAATATATATAATAATAATAAAAAAGTTAAATAGTCAGATTTGAATTAGACCAGGAAACAGTACTATTAAAAAACTGCTCAATACACATAAAAAGATAAAAAATTAACATGTAGAGCTTTTAAGTATAGAAAATTAGGAGATCATCCTATTCTGTTACCTTACTTTCAACCTTGCAGTATCTTCTGGTGATAAGTCACCTGTTAAGCTAGAAAGCCTTAGAAATTCTACTAAACAAGCCAACCATGTGTGGAAATTAAGGGGAAAAAAAATAAAAGATCCGATTGTAAACTGGAAGATTAAAAAAACAAGAAAAAAAAAAACCAAAACCTTACAACAATCATAGCAATACTTGCAACCTTTGTTAACAAGAAAAATTAGTTATAACATTTCCAGATCCCCCAAAAAAACCTTTCGAATCAGAGATTGGAAATTATGACCTGTAGTATACATACTAAAAAGTTCCTTTTGGGTTCATTTGAAGTGGGCTGAAAAGAAAGTATGCATACTTTATTTAATCCCTCACTGATACATTTCCACTACACTTAATTTTTACCTCCTCTTCTTCCTCACGTCGTGCACTTATTTATTTAATTAATTTTTAAAAATATAGCGTTCATAAATTTTTTTACTTTTAAAAAACGAAGTGTTAGAAACTCAATTGACTGAAATCACCTGAAGATACCAAAAGACTGAAAACAAGGTAGTGGAATCAGCTGATCTGCTAAGTTTTATATATATATATATATACACACACACACACACATACATACATTCATAGTGCAACTTAAACTTTTATGGTTTTGCCAACTCAAAAGGCATGAAGGCCTCATTCACAAGTTCATTGAGCACTGTTTTGTTTACACATATTAAATTAAGTAAATATTTATTCGTTTATCTGTGTATGCATGCTAACACACATATATACAGTTGTTAATAGCTATTTGGTTTAGATCCCCACACACACACACATTATATATATATATATATATATATATATATATATATATATTGCATTTTATATGTGTGGATATTAACTGTTGTCCTTGCACCTATACAAACCTAATGATAGCATCAAACATGCAACTGATTAAAATTAACTCTGAAAAGAAAAAAAAGAATTGATAGCCAACTGTGGTACTGGATAAAAAAGAAAATCTATTTTGCAAGCAGGATTGCAATTGAGACTGCTTTTACTGTAGCATCTACACCCACAGCCCACTAATATATACAGCCCCACATATCAGGCTAATTTCTAAAAGGCCTATTTAGTTTATAGTCAATTTATATCTGTCTTATCTAAAACATGTTAAAACCATCCAAAAATACACAGTTTGTTTTTTCTCTTTTTAAACAGAACAGTATTCATTAAAATTTGTAAACAAACAAAAAAAGTTATTAAAGAATTAATGAGTAATATAAAACAAATACAAGTAAAAAAAAAACTTACCAACAGTTTCTCTATAAATCAATTTTCTTTTGAACTTTACCTTTCTTTTTTAAAACATTCTACAATATTTTTTGAATTTCATCCAATGAAAACTTTTGTTTATTGCTGTAAAAGATATTGATAACAATTTTTGCTGTAAAGTAAATTCCTTTTTCAGCGTGTTGTTCACAAGTAAAAACATTTTAGAGAATAAGTTTCCAAAATTCTTTCAGCAGACTCTCTTGTAGAGGATTCATTATGTTTTACAATAAATTCATCTGTATAGTCAGGTATAGTAAAAGAATCACAAACAAACTTTGCCATTTGGCTAGGTGGAACCATAAGACCTCCTTGAGAAAGTAAGTCAAAGTACTGCTTCTCTGTAGCATCATCACTATCATTGCCTACCATGACCAGGAAACACATTTCACATTGAAATTTTTTTTTGAATTTTCTCTAATAAAGATGGTAATGGAAATTTCTCCAAAAGTAAGTTGTAGATTTGTTGAGACATATAGCGCAGTAGTAAGGTATAACATATTAGTTTTTCAAAAAAAAAAAAAAAAAAAATGAAGGATGACCTCTTGCTTGGTAATGTTGCCATTTTTGTAATTCTTTTAGAATTGAGTATGGTTGTTCTTCCACCATGTTTTGTATGTAGTTTTGAAAATTTTCTAACATGTTAAATCTTGTGAGTTTAGCATTATGTCCATGTCTAAACAACTGTGGTAATGGTATAGGGGTTCCATTGCACTGGAACTGGACGTGAAGGTTTTGGTCAATGCAAATACATTCTTTTATAGATGGAAAATGTGTTTCAGGAACAAAGACCATTCTATAAATTAGAATATAAGCCTTTTTTTAATTCAAAATTGTTAGAACAACACTTTCCTTCTTTCAATTGAGTAAAATCCTTTATCGTATCAGGTAAAATAAAATCATGTAATTCATCAGTTGGGACCAGTCGTTGTTCTGGAGGCTTTCTGAATTCCCTTGTATTTGGCAAAAAGAGACAGCTTTCTTATTTTTTTTTCTGAATGCAGGTAATTGGATCTAAATCTCAATTCAGTTTGTTTCATTTTCCTTTTAAAATAAATTTCTCTTCAAAATCTTTCATACAGAGAACTGAATTTTTCGTAGGAAACCAATCAATACGATTAACAAATTTTATCCATTTTTTTACGAAATTGGATTTTCCAAGAGGAAAAGAAAATGTTGATACTTTTTCCCTGTTAGTAACATATCCACTAGAACAGCCAAATGCAACACTTTTGTTAACCATTTTTGTTAAACAAAATATCACAACAAACTTTATAATTTAATTTTTAAATGTAATGGACTAGAAGGGAGAAAATTTACCTAATAGTGTTCATTTACAAAACAGGCCGTATATGCAATTGAAAATCATAAAATCAAGGTAACTCATAGCCATTTATAATTCATGGATTAGTAAAAAAAAAAAAAACAGGTGTAAATATGCATTTTAGTGTTGAAAACATGTTTAGGGAATTGAAATAATGTCTGATAAATTCTATGTTATTGTATTTTGTTAATTTAAGAATTTAATTCTAAGAATTCAATTTTTAAAGTTATCTTCTTTTTAGATTAGCAATTTTCCAAGTGGCCATTCACATTTTTTTGTTTGCATTACATCAGCCTGTTAGAATTCAGTTTGTTGTGTGGCGTGTTGTATAATATTAATTGGTCATGCTACACCACATCTTTTTGTTCATTCATTGCATATCAAGAAATCTTATTGCAATATTTTTGGGGTATCATGTCAAAAGCCTTAAAAATTTAGCCTTCAGTATTATACTCACCCGGATTGATCTGAGAACGAGTTTCCCTGAATTTTTGTAGCTGCTTTTCTTTGCTGCCTTTTTAGGGTTCATCAATGGCCAGCTGAGCTGTAGAAAGAAAGTAAAAAAAATAGACAAACTCAACATATAATCCACTGAATCACATTAAAAAAAAAAAAAATTATGATTGAGTTTCTTATTGACTAGGTTACCTAAACCATCAAAAATATAATTGATATTTTAAGTCCTTGTGATGATTATTAGATTTTAACATGTGAAGTTTCAATTTTTTTTAATCTGATTATTAGTCTATTTTTTCATGGACTTGGTGTTTTCTGTATGAATTATTTTACAAGAGGTTCGATTGTACAATTCGATCCTGCAAGGGGAATACAACCTTTCTTTGAGACAGAGAGGTGTATATATATATATATACACAAAGAATTTGCGAACATATAAACATATGGACTTTTGTTCTTGTTTTGGTGTGAGGAACCCATCCCTAAAATTTGTAGAAGTATTTTTGATACACCACACACATATATATATATATATATATATATATATATATATATATAAAATGTGTGTGTGGTGATTTATAAAGTTTTTGAGTTATTAAGTTTAAAGGAAGTTTACAGTAGATGGTGCTGTGTTGTGATATAGACTAGGTTACGTTAGTCTAGCCACAACTGTACAGGAATGACAATCTTCAATGTTTAACATGTTTAGTAGTGAGTTAACTGAGAAGTATTCTGTTTAACAATGGCAGCATAATCATATTATGAGCAGGAAGATATGATTTTTACATATGAATGCAAGGCTGCATGGTGTGTCAGATTGCATTTCTAGATAGAAGGCAACTGAGTCAGCTAACCGTTGCTGCTGTTTATTGCCAAGTTGCTGAGATAGGACCTGTGGCACCACAAATTATGGATCAAAGAACACTGACATCTGCTCGTACACCTGACCACAAAGAACAGATTCTACAGGATCCAGGTATTAGCACATGTCAAGTGGTCCTTGCATGTTGTACATCTCATAGTACTGCATGAAGTGTTAAGAGCAACTCCTGTATTTGTATCATTTGCTACAAAAATTTTTGTCAACTGTTTATTGCAAAAACGTTATTGCCAATCCATTGTTTGTATCTTCAGTCTTGTTTATGGATGAGCAACATTTGGAAGAGATGGAATAACAAATTTACACAAGCAACATTTGTAAGCAGATGAAAATCCTCATGTACAATACAGGCGATTGTCTGGTAGGTCCATATGTTCTTCCAGCACATCTTACAGGAGCTGTCTACGGGACTTTATTTTGAACACACTTCCAGACCTGCAAGAAGATGTACCCCTGCTAATACAAAAATGCATGTAGTTCAGGTATGATGGGGCTCCAGCACATTTTACTCACATTGTTCACAATGCACTGGCTGAAATCTACCATGAAAGTGGGATAGGTAGGGGAGGACTAGTCTCATGAACTGCATGTGCCCCTGACCTCAATCCTTTGAATTTTTATCTATAGGGTCACCTAAAACAACTAGTTTATGCAGCAGACAACAATAATGCAAAGATGTTACATCAACATGTCACGGGGGCATGCAAAACCATTCAACACCGTGTGAGAGTATCTGAAAAGGTCCAGCAATCAATGATCTGATGGGTACAAAATACAGTTGGTTTTACTAGGGTGCATATCTTAGTAGAATAAATTTTCATTAACTTTTTTTGAAAAATTAAAGATTTTATCATATAAAATACTCCCACTATTTTAAAAAGAATTTAATGATTAAAATAACAAATAATTATTTAATAAAAATGCAAGAGAGTTTTTTTTTTGCATGTTTTCTTTAAGTTTTTATATACAAGAATCCAGTTTCCAGTCTCTCCTGCATTTGTGAGAATTATAAACAAATCACAAGGCCAAATGCTTCAAAAAATTGGAATTTGGATCCAGAAAAAAATATTTATGCATGGCCAGTTGTATGTTGCAGGCTCAAGAGTAAGAAATTATTATTAGCTGTTAAAAAGAAAAAAAAAAAAAAATTCTTACAAAATATTGTTGTCTATGAAATCCTATAAAATTAAATTAAAGAAATTATTAAACCACAAAGTAGGGTTTTTGTCAAAGTATTTTTTCAAACAAATCAGCTTATTCAAATTTCATCAACTGGTTTGCGAAATTGAACGAAACGTAGAGTTTGTAAATCTTGACAAAAATGTTAGTGATAACTTCCGCACTATGAGGATTTCAACATGCTGATGTGCATCGAAGGACCTCCAATCGATTGTGAACTGGGGCATGAATTGGCTCGTCAACTTCAACGCTTCTAAGACAAAACTGCTCTCTATTAATCATCACAGAGATCCTTCCCTTCCCTCCATTAGAATGTCTGATGCTCAACTTCTCGAGAGCAACTCTCTGCGGCTTCTTGGTCTCACATTGACTGCTGACCTGAGATGGAATAAATACATTGAGTCAATTGCCTTGTCCACCGCAAGGAAAGTTGGCTCCCTGAGCCGCGCCAGGAAGTTTTCCTCCCTAGAGTCGATCCTCCAGATTTACAGATCAACAATTCGCCCTTGCATGGAGTATTACTGCCATATATGGTCTGGTTCCCCTTCTGTTTGCCTCGGGGTTCTTGATAGGCTCCAGGGGCGGATATGCAATGTACTTGGCCCTGCCCTGGCGTCTTGTCTACAGTCACTTTCTCACAGACGTGCCGTCACCTCCCTCTGTCTGTTCTACAAATATTTTCATGGAAATTGCTCCGAGGAGCTGCATTCGCTGGTTCCCAGACGTCACGAGTTCCAGCACCTTACGAGGCTGGCATCCCGCTCTCACACCTTCACTGTCGAAACTCCTAAATGTAACCGTCTCTTCTACTCTAATAGCTTCATGTCTCGCACCTCTCGCCTGTGGAACTCCCTTCCCTATTCCTGTTTCCCTGTGAGCTATAATCTCCAGCTATTCAAGTGTAATGTCAATCGACATCTCCAGTTGCCTTGATCTATCCACTACCCTTCTCCTCATCCTTTCTTCTATCACTCCTATCTGATCTTGCTCTAAATTTTCTGTAACCCCTTGCGTCCTAGTGGCTTCCCGCCTTGCTTGGGGTGAAATGCTTAAAAAAAAAAAATTTTTAAAAAATATAACAATCATCAGATGCTCATTATCAAGAGTTAAGCATTAATAGCAACAGATAAAATGTTCACTTATCTATCTGATAAGGGTTTTGCAAAGATTAAACCCACTTATTAGAAGGCTTGATAGTAAAATTGAATTCATCAGCATTTCAATAATATAATCCAAATCAGTTTAAATAAAATGTGATTGACAACCAAGCATGTGCTGTAGCATATGTATGGACGATAATGGGTATGACCCCATTCCCATAAATACATTAGTAAATACTGCATGTTGGTCTTCAGTTGGAGATTCATTGTGGAATTCACTTGACTCACTTCTAGCAGCTGACTACTTCTTCTACGCACTGTTGGTGAATCTCATATGTGTTGTTCTTGTCCTAAGTATTATCATTCATTACCAACCTTTGTGCAATTATTCTATTCAGTAACCTTCCCTAGGTTAAAACAGCATGTAAAATCCACAATAGCCATACTGTTAAAAAATGGATGGGCAACAAAGATTGGAAAGGATAAGGAAGAGAATGAGACAAAGGGGTCAGAGAAGAGCAGAGGCATGAGATAATCTTCTTTGTCAACACTTGTGGAATTTCTGCAGGTTCAGTAAATATTTTATTATTGTAAATCTTTAGAAAGCAAACTTGATCATACACTTATAATGATCAACAAATATTAAGGAATGTTACTTACTGATTTGTCAGTGGCTTTTTCCATGTCTCCCAGGGTTGTAACACAAGAGCCAATGAAGTCATGTGATCCATCACTGTCCCAATCATAACAATCAATCTAGGGATTTAAAAAAATTATTATTAATTATTTTATTGTTTTCAGGTGGGACACTTATATAGATTTATAATTAAAACTTGCAAGTTATATACTCTCTTTTTGAAAAGTAAATTCAGTCTTTATTATTATAATTGTGTGTGAGTGAGTGAGAGAATCAATAAGTCTATAGCTGAATCTTGATAAGAAATTTTAACTTTTTACAATTGATGATTAATATTCACCTATGGATTAACTGCATCGACAACAAAGGTGATTATTTTTGAAAGAAAGATAAAAAAAGAATAACACTATTTACATTATTCAGACTATTGTCTTCATCTTTGTCGCCATATTTATTACAATGTTTCAGCTGTTGTACGTTCTGGCCTTCTTCTTCAATGGTCAAAACGTTGTAATAAATATGGCGACAAAGATGAGGACAATAGTCTGAATAATGTAAATAGTGTACATAATACCTCATCTCAGAAATATAGACAAAAAAATAAAATCAATATTTGTTGTGTAGAACAGATGCATTTTTCATTAATAATTTATTGGCTCATTGATTTATTGGTGATTGTAAGTGTAGAAAAATTTGAAAGTTAGTGTATATATAAAAAAAAGCATTTATAAAAAATAGCATTCTGTAATTATATCTTCATTTTTTTGAGTTCCCAGTAGATGGCTTAAAAAAAAAAAAAAAAAAGAAAAAACTCATGTATAAGTTTGTAAGATGTGATAGGATTTTCTTAATATCTTATGAGTGCAACATGTGAGGATTTTTTCTTTGAAGAACTACATTACCTGAACTTGCAGATAAACTAAACAAAGTTGAGCATATGATAGAATTCACTTATGAAATGGAAACAAACAATACTTCGACTTTCCTAGATATAAGGTTACACTGTAGTGACAATAGACACTATGTGTCTATTGCAATTCCTTTAATAAAAATGATCTCATAAATTTCTATTCTCATCATAACAACAAAATGAAATCCAGAATAATCATCAGATTCTATTTAAGAGCAATCAGAATTTGTAGGCCTCAATATTTAAAAAGAAGAAATACATTGAAAATACTTTTAAGCTCCTCCAATACACTAATTATTTCATTTTCAATGTGAAACAAAAGGCTAGTAAAATATTTCAAATGAGAATAGTGAACCTTTCTGATAAACACAATCAATCAACTACAACTGAAAAGAATTTATCTAAGCTTAACATCAAATTTGTTGCAGCTACTTCTAAAACAATAAAAGACTTAATACAAATCAAAATTATTACCTGTAATAATTGCCATAAGGAATACATTGGAGAAACATAAAGGAATTTAAATAAAAAGATTATATGAACACTAAAAAGATCTTTTACAAAACACATACTCAATGCATTAGTTGCTCACCGTAATGAGTCTGACCATAATTTTGATTTACAAAATGATACTCTAATTAAAAGAGAAAGCAATTTACTAAGATGAAAATGTATAGAAAGGGCTTTAATTGCTACATTATCCACAGTAAACTTGTGTCCATTATCACTTTTCTTAGTGAGTTTTTTATTATAAAATGTGGGATATTTTATGACAAAAAGTGATAAAAACAAACAAAAAATTAATAAATGAAATTGGCTAAACAATATACCCAAAACATATTTAAAAAAAAAAAAAAAAAAAAAAAAAAAAAATTCAAATTCTCAACCCCATCCCTCCCGCTCTTCTTCATGCACATGTGTAGTCGCATTACTGTAGACATCACTTTAGTCCAATGAAGTCCTAAAGGATGAAACATCTCACATAAATGTGCGGGGGTTTCATTATGCACAATTCAATAGACATATATTTACACTGTTTAGAAATCAGGAATGTCTACTCAAACACAAAATATAGCATTTGAAGTAATAATATATATATATCATAGATGTTACTTCTTACACAGATAAGATGTGTGTGTGTTTGTATATATATATATATATATATATATATATATTAGTTGGATTGATGTAAGTTTATGACCCTGGGTTTCACGCTTTTGCGATTGTCAGACAAACTGATTAATTTTTTTAAATTTTTGATTTATGTAGGTTGAGTGTATTGGTGTTTTTATGGAAGTGGGAGGAAAAATTGTCATTGTGACGCCACTCATACTTATGCAAACATATATACACGTCCATACACCCATTGAGGTACGCAGACACACATAATAATAATTGCTATTATTTTTAATTTTTTAAGGCTGTTTTGTTATTATTTTAAAGACAGTTATTTGCTTGTTTTTGGTGATTGCACATATGTAAATGGTAGAAATTCCAATTTGTAATCCTTATTAGTTTTTATGAGGTGGTATTAATTTTGCTGAGGGAGAGAGGAGTAATTTACGTTAATGGTGATTGCGGACTAATATGGCAATAGTAATTGTGATGTGGTAGTAATGGTGGCGGCGGTTGATGATAATGATTTTAGTAGCAAATAGTTATTGTAAATTTAAAATAATAGCAATTTTTACCGATCATAGTTTTACACAGACCCCATCATACGTATATGCATGCGTGCAAGGAAATATTATTTAGTGGAAAAATAGAAAAATGGTCTGCGTGGTGACATTGCTACATTCAGGGAAATGATTTGCCATACAATCCTTCATTGAATTCAGCAATCAAATGTGGACATATGTACACAACAGCACACATATCCATATATATATCTAGTCCCATACTATTCACATATGTTTGTGTGAACTCCGGTGGGCAAGTGCGTGTATGTGTGTCTGCGTACCTCAATGGGTGTATGGACGTGTATATATGTTTGCATAAGTATGAGTGGCATCACAATGACAACTTTTCCTCCTACTTTCACAAAAACACCAATACACACAACCTACATAAATCAAAAATTAATCAGTTTGTCTGACGATTGCAAAAGCATGAAACCCAGGGTCACAAACTCACATCAATCCAACTAAATGTTAGCTCTATCTTTGACATCGAGCACTTTCCAATAAGTACCGCGCATATAATATGTAAATAATATATATAATATACTGCATACACACACACACACACATATATATATATATTAGGTAAGTAAGATATCTAACAGATTATTTGTGAAATCTTTCCTAATGAAAATTGAATTTAAAAATAACAAGTCTTCATTTCAACAGGTGAAGCTGATTCTGAGGTGGTACTGGCAATCTAAAATGATGACTCAAGTCTAAAGAAATATGAAGTGTTTATTTTTGAACAGTACCCCTCCCCAATGTAAAATATTCAACATTTCATGTGATGTTTAAATCTGACAGAATTAATATTTTTTTTTAAAAACTGTAAAAAGTGTAGTGCCCTTTAGTAGAAGTAGTAAGTAAATAAACCCTGTATCAGCAGCAGCTTGAATATAAAAACTTGTGAACCCTAAAATAACTCTTTCTTTTGGGTTTCCTTTTTGAACTGCTGACATGAACTTTCCATGCTGAAGCTAAAAAGAGCTGTGAAACACTTCACATATCCACAGTAAGTCACACTATAACATATACAGGAACATTTTGTTATGTGTACAATTTAATTCTACTAAAAGAAACTTGTTTTAAATTTTACTTTGTTAATTTTTGTTTTAATAAATGTTATCTTTGCTTTGCTAATCAATTGGTCAGTTTTTTTGTGCATGTAATCTTTATACCACTATTATTCCTTGTGCTATAAAATATAACAGTAAAATCCTTACACATTTAATTATTGAACTAGCTAATCACTTTAGGCAACAAAAATTTAAATTTTAAAAATTGCCCCTGCTGTGTTCATATATTTTCTTCCAGATAATATCAACCCTGGGTGGAAATTTAAAAACATACAGCAAAACCAAAAATGGCAAATGATAATCAAAATGCTGTATTACAAGATTTGGACAATTGGTGAACAAAACCATGACTATATAACAAGATTAACATAATTAAAAAAAAAAAAAAATACTTAGATCTACATTACTTAAAATTTAATGTTTTTTCTTATACTAAAAACTAATTGACATTTGTGTCTATTAATTTGAATGATCGATTTTTACAAATAATTCTTCTCAGACAAAGAGGAAATTCCATCAGAAATTGTCTGAAGTTCATTTCAAAAGAAAAGTACAGGAAATATGGTCCAAGTTTTCAACTAAGTCATCATCAGGTTAGGTAGAAATAATTGTTTGAGAAATGGATAATTGGTGCATGAAAATGTAACTGTATAATGTGACTAACATAATTTTAAACAAAAATACTTAAATCTACATTACTTAAAAAAAAAGAATAAGAATTAAGAAGATAATACCGATTGATGTCGCATTTAAATTTTTGAAGATCAAAGTTGACTGGGAAGAGAGTTCCACAAGCGAGAAGTGCAAGAAACTGTTAGCATAGAACTTACAGTTACATCTAGCCATTTCTACTCTAAAATGATAAGACCTTGTTGCCAATCTAGTACTGCGCTTAAATTCCTAAAGTCTAGGAACCATAGAGGAAAGTTCATCAGAACAATTAGAAGAGGAACATGGAAGCTATGTTACAGCATAGAGTCACTAAGTTATTATTATATCTAAAAAAAAAAAAAAAATCTCTCTCTCTTGCTCTATATAACAATCTAAAAATACTTTCAGGCTTTAAATAACTTGCAAAGGGTTGATAAACCATAGAAAATAGAAAAAAAATATGCTTACTTTGATTTTTAATTGTCTGTCTCCTTTACACAATGTTTGTGCCTTCAACTCAAATGGCTTCCATTTGGGATTCAAATTGTTCTTTATGACCTGAACAAAATTGAAGAGATAAATACATTTTATTTTTATCATATACAAAAATTATTTACCATAATGATAGACAATGTTATAAAATGTTTGTTATCAAAATCAGTTGGTTCCAAATATTTATTTAAAATGAATTAATAATTTTAAGTTAATAAACTGTATATTAATTTTATATTAAGTTGTTTATAATAATGTAAATTGACCCAGTTTTTTTTGTTTTTTTTAACATCCTATTCTTCATGTCATCAGCTGCTTATTGTCATCTAAATTAGTGATTCTTAATGTGAGCTCTTAAGCCCAAAAGTCGACCTGAGAAATATTTTAAATGGGACTGGAGATGCCAGGAGCAGTGTAGTCATTAGTCAGGATTTATATTTTCTACTACATTTTACTTTTGTAAACATGGAATTTCTATTTGTGTTTATGTGTGCCTGAAAGTTTTTTGACACCAAAAATTGGTCATAAGGAAGACAAGGTCGAGAAACACTGCCCCAAAATAATCACAATAAATGGTTTCCTCGATGTATAACAATAAGATAAATTTCAGTAAAGATTTCTATTTGTGATTTCTTATTCAAACTTTAACTTTATATAAAAACAATAAAAGAAAATTTCAAAGCCTATTTTTACCTCAGTTCTATGGACCAATTGCCAGTTGGATTGTGTTTGTCGGAAAATTTCAATATAAGGGTCTGAAAGACCAAAGAAATCCTGAAATGAAATGATACAAGAGAATCATGACTCAATTAGAAATGTGCAGGCAAAAAATATTATTATAATGATCAGATTTCCTATGCTTGCAGCCGTAACTGCAAAAATAGCACATCAAAGCACAATTTTTGTTAGAGCATTTGAATGGTATTGTGCTAACTTGAAGAATAAAGCAATTTATTGCCCAATCAGAACACCAATTCCCAAGTAAATTTTAACTAAGTAACAAGTTTGTCTTTGCATTATTTTGATGTAAAAAAAAAAAAAAAAAACTGTATCTAATACAGCCAGGACATATTAGGACATCAGACAAGCCAGAGTCCACTAGGCATAAAAATTGTTACTAGTACTTTTTAAAATTTTTTTTTTTTTTTTAATCTATAGGAGCCTATACTGTTTGCTGAAATACCAGTTTCTGTTAGAATGCATTCAGTTATTTCCCCTGTTGCTTGTTGTATCCTACTGGTAATATTCACTAAAATATTTTGCTTGTACTGTAATCATCTACAAGAATTCATTCACATTTATTGTACTTTACGGATTGCCTTATATCAGTTTGTTTATATTCACTGGTAAAGCATTGATAAGCATTGCACGAATATTTTTTTCTACTTTGACAAACTTTTCTTTAAAGATCAAATTTACAATATATAATTTCGTACTCCATTGCAATCTACTATTATACTATTGTATTTGCATGCACAGAATCATACATTTTCCTCTACCAAACCACTTTAAAATATATTTCAATACATGATGAAACATACCAAATTTTTTTTCCATAAAATATCCTTGTAAAATAGAGGGGCATCTTATGGGAATGTGTGTGTTATGCAACAAGAAATACAGTATTTTTAAAGCAAAATTTAATTATTATTAAAGTATCAGGTAATGTAAAAGTTATAGAAAATGAAATTGGCAAGTTTGAGGGGGGGGGATCGAAGGGAGATAACTCCAAGCCTATTTACTGCTAATTACAGAGTTGTTTCCCCTCATGTTTTTTGTTTTTTTTTGTTGCCACGTCTCTAGGAGGTAGGTAAACATTACAGATTCCATTTTTTTTTTTTTTTTTTCATCTGTGAACTGTTATGGTTTCTCAGGAGCGATAATGGAGTGGTTTCCTGTTGCCTTCTCCATGGATTTGAATTCAGAGTTGTTCTAGACTGGCTACCAACCAAGGTTAGAGTGCACTGTCTACACTGCCATTTAAGCTATAGCTAGGGTGAAAAGAAATGGAGTTATGCCTTTTCCAAGGGCATTAGTGTGAAAGTGAATGAAACAAACTAGGTCAGAATTTGAACTTGGCTTGCAGATTCCACTTTATAACCCTTACACTACTCAATACTTTAATAATTATTATCAAATTTATTGATTTACAAATAATTATAATTCTGTAAATATAAATAAAAATTGACAGGAGGCACACAAAGACAGCATTTAAATGAGTATATTGTGTAAAAAAAAAAATTAATAAGCATGCATATAATGCATTTTAGGGATTTAGAAAAAGCTTTTTTTATTTCAATTATCCTAAACTTTCCATTTATTTGTTTCATCTTAATTTCAGCTGCTTTTTATTGCAATTTCTCAAACTTTCATTCTATCATAGTAAGCAGTACTGACCAAAAATAAGACTCTAGCTAAATTCAAACTGACATCCATCATTCTTGAGAAGCATGTCTACCTAGATCAGCTGATTTACCAAATAGGCTAAAAAAAAAAAAAACTATCAGTTACAAAAACTCAAATCTAATTATACAGCTTTCATTCTTTATTTTTTCCATGTCTGATTGATAAGTCATCAATCGTAGAATAAAAGTCTTGAGAATTGTGATAAAAAAGAACAAAAAAAAAACCCAAAAGAAATTAAGACAAAAAGAAATACAAGTCAAAGATTATTAATAATCAACAATACATTATGTAAAAGAAAAAACTGAATATTACCACATCTAATAATAATAATAATAATAATAATACAATAAAAGTCAATTAAACTGAAATCAATACCAGTCAATAATTAATAACTGACAATGTGTTCTTTTTAGAAATTTAAATATCACAACTAAGCCATATTTTTGTTTTTGGTTGCAAACTTTAAGTCAAACATGAAAATGTTTTAATAATTTTTGACTCTTAAGTTGTTACATTGCACAATCATTAAATATTAAATAGAGTGAATTGGAAATAAAGAAGTAGCCTCCAATGAGATTTGAATTCATATCCCACATTCTGGGATTACGTCTAATATAGATACAGCTCATTAATGCTGACTGTCACAAAAAATGAAAGGGTGGATATTATTATTAACTAGCAGTAGAGCCCGGCGTTGCCCGGGGATGTAACAGTAAGAGATAGATCAAGTATCGACCATCATAAAGACTGAAAAATAAAATTGACAAAGATTATTGTTTAAGGTTGATGGACACACATGTCTTAATTAGTTTTTTTTGGTCTTTTTTTACGAATTGGTCAAACCCAAACTCAAACAAAAACATTGTTTTCAATCATTATGAGTCTACCGATTGAATAGAATTTTATTATAAACAATTGTCTTGTAAATGGAATTTTTAAAGTATTCTGAATGTAAAAATAAAGAAAAAAGTGTGCAAGACAATAAGAAACACTACCTACCAAAAAAAAAAAAGTGAAGTTTTGTTGAAATCGGTTGAAAAATGTAGGAAATTCGATCCCATATATAAACAAACACACACACACACACACACACACAAACAACCTGGGTTTTATAATAAGTATAACTCGATATGAGTTGTCCCCCTTTCATTCTTGCGATGATTCTTAATCGTGTTTTCAAATTGATTTCATGCAAAAACAATTGTGTTTTTCCAATTTTTGGCACTGTCAGAACCACCGCAAGGTAATTTTATGTAGTTCTGTGAAGTTTTGTTGAAATCGGTTGAAAAATGTAGGAAATCCGATCCAATATATAAACGTACACACACACACACACAACCTGGGTTTTATAATAAGTATGATACCAGATTTTTCAGAAAGCTACAATTAATACTGAAATTTTAAAGAAATTTCTAATGCCAAATCGTCTCAAGAAACCTATAATACCACATGTTTCTTTTAATTTTTATAATCCCAGATTTTACAATGGGTATCAGCAGGTTAAATGATTTGGCTCTGGAGGGTTAACAAGCAGAACCAAATTCATGGTCAAATAACTACTGTTGGCATATGAGCCCCCCTCCTATGACAATGACAAAAAAAAAAAATATCACTCTACATCTTACACAGAATTGAGGTCACTCCCACCCAATGCTCAGTACTGTAGACTATAAATTTAGATGGTCACTTCTACCTAACCCAACTCAATAATGTCATTTGAATAAATAACATCATTTACTCAAACATCATTACTATTATTATTACTACTACTACTACTACTACTCCTCCCTCTTCCTCTAATAGGAATTATCAAAACCAAGTATTGGCAACATTTGTTGGTGCCAGTTGATCCATCATATTTAAATATACCTCAATATATTTTCGTAGAACCAATGATAGAACCTGTAACAGCCCTTGCCAGTTCTAGAGGGAATGAAGAGTTGTAAATGTTACCACACCTGCTGTCATCTGTTTCCATTACATTGCAACTAGCCACGCCATGAGCTGTCCTTGCTATGTTGCAATTGGGGTTGTGTTTACTTGTCAAATTGGATATCCATTAGAGCCTACAGTAATCCTTTTAGCTGAAAACAAATTCAAATCACAAGGCCGTTGTGATAATAAACAACTATTCATTATTGAAAATTACTACATAATTCTGTCTTCTTTCTTCTTTATGTTTGTAGCTGGAGTGAATACTAATCTATATACAAGGACTCTTTTCCATTCAGTCCTTTTACCATGAATGGTCTGTATAGCAATAATAGGAACTTCTTTCATCTTTCTTTATTTTAAGTCAGTTTTTCCTTCTTTTTTTTTAAAAAAAAAAAAAACTCAACTTTGTTCTTCTGACTTTGGTGAAAAGTCCATATCCCTAACAGCAACAGAACAAAATAGACCTTACTACACTGGGGTAGCTCTCTCCCAGTGTCTGTGGTTGTGGACTTTTCTGTTTATAATGTCCTTAGATACTAAAATTGTCATGTAGGCCTTTTCTTCTGACAAAGAACAGATGTCCTTAACTGGCTAACTGGAGTCACTAGATAGGGTCATGCAATAAGAAATACATGTGTTTTGGATGAAAAGAAAAAAATTTGGTTAATTTTTGCTTGATTGATCATTTGAAGATTGTCACATACCCTTCTTTTAAATTAGGAATATTGGTTTTGAACCTCACCAATTCCAAGCCTTTTTTATATAGTCTAATTTTTTTTTGGTTGGTTTGTTTTTCCCATTATAGTTTTCTCAACTTTCAGTATCTCCATACTCACTTTCATTTATTTAGTAGTAGCATTTAAGCCAGCTCTTGCAGAGGGTTCATGATTGGGCTTCTTGGCTTGTTCAGGAGTTTGAGAGTCCCTAAGTCTTTGCATATTTTCAGCACTGGAAGCTCTCCTGGCTGCTGTTTGATCTGGGTTTTCATTTGCAAAGGACTTTCTTTTGATTGCAATCTGGTCCTCTGTTGAAAGAGATTTTTTCTTTTTGTGAGGCATTCTGCTGCCATATACAATAGGCAACAGTAAACTACAGAAGAACTCAAAATTGATTGATGCATTTCAGTATTGCATTAATATTTAGGCTTACCTTTTAAAAGTTCAACAATAATTCTTCTGTCGGCATTTTAATTTAAAGACAATTTGATGTGCGTAGGTCCTTACTTTCTGCACAAACAATTACTTTTATTTCATGGGTGACTTCTACTGGATTAATTTCACTTGTTCTCAAATTTATTTCCAAGTTATAAAAACTGTAATCAAATTGTTGCAAAATAAAATAAAAAAAAAACCTGCCCAAATAATCACAGTAATAAAAACTTGGGAATACAAAAATTCAGGTCTGGATACAGCCCGATAGGTTTTTAATTTGCTCATGGAGTCGACCTGATTCCAAAATGGTATGATATGTTGAGCTATGGACTCTAGGAGTAAAGTTGAACACAATGCCATTCACATTCATTTATATACAAGATGAGATATTTAAAAGTTAGAGAGTTGTGTCCCTTTGACTGAAAAAGTGTGACACACAGAGACATTTTTGCATTTATTATATAGATAACTACTTTGTTCACTCCAGCCACAAAACATTATTCATACATTACTAAAATCTTTGGCAAGGAGGACACTGCCACACTCTCATCATTTATCTAGTGAAGAAAGAGACATAACTGAAAGATAACACTGATAACGGTAAAACACTAACCTGAGAAAATCTGGTGTCACAGAAATATGTCCAACATATGAAGCAGCCAAAGAAGAATGCCGAATGGCTGTATGTTTTACATTTGGAGAGTGCATTCAGTAGAGCTGTTTGGTACCAGTTGATAAAACACCAATGGCGCTAGTTGAGTTTACAGAATTTTACCTTCAAGAATATAACTGTAAGAGGTAAGAGATTAAGCTACACAATTTGCTATAATTGATAGACTATGCTAAGGAACATGGGAACAAAGCAGCAACAAAGGTTTTGGGCCTTTTAGCTACTGGCAGCAGCAAGATTAACTAAAGACAACTAAATAAGATCTTTGTTGGCAAGCCACACATTTGTTGTATTTGAGGATGACAAAAAATGTGATAGATCAGGGGAGTTTCTAGCAAAATAATAATTAATGGGGTGTATAATAAAAGTTCAAAGTTCAAATCTCCATGTACACACACACACACACACACACACACACACACACAGCCTCTCCACAAAAAAAATCTTCTGGTAGAAAAAGTCAGTTGCTTTTATAGCAGTTTGTTGGACACTTTATGGTTTTCTATTTGTGGAGCATGGACATTTTTAGCATATTTTTCTATGCAAACCAATCCACTCAGTGATACTTGACCCACAATTAATTAGCAGAAGCTAATTTACATGACATTGCTGAACTCATTCTGTGATGAAGCATTTGTTTTTTTTCTTTTTCTGCAAAAGCAGCATGAGACAGGAAAGGCTTGGGTATATGTGCCATTTTCTTTGGTACACAAGGCCAGATTACTAGAAAGTGTTACCAGTTTATGAAACTGCAGGGTTTATCTATGAACAAAACACATATTATACAAAAAATACAAGCTGATGAAAATTTGTTATAAGTGCATAAGAGGAAACTTGTTTTGAATTTGGGGCAAATAGAAAACATGAATAAAATTCCATTAACATCTGATGCACCATCCAACAAGATTAGAAGTGTCAAAGGGTTTAAAACAGTTGCAATAAAAAAAAAAATAGAGAGAAGGAAAGTTTTTCCCATGATACCACTTTTTAAACTACCTTAACTCTTTGACAATATGTCAACCACCTATTAGGAAATCCTTATTATTCATCATTTTATAAAGTTTAAATAAATTGGCAATTAGCTGATGTTTTGTCAGCCATTCTAATAAGTAATAGTGTAAATAAATAATGAAATAGTATTTAATATTTTTGTTGTAAATTCTCAAGAACAAAAAATATATAAATTCCCTTTCATCCTATGTTTAGGTTTTATCCCAATTTTAATCATTGCTTTCTAAAACAATTGCTGAAAAATGAAGGTTGTTAAAAAAGCAATGCCATGTGGAAAAAAAAATCCTTTTGACACTACATTTTATTGCAGGCATGTTTATCCATGTTTGCCAAAAATTCATTAGAAACAAAGAAAAGAGTTCTGACGGCTATGTAATGTCTAACCACCTCTATGGCAGAAATACTAGACAATTTTCATCACAAATGAAGAAAAGACTTGAAGCAACTGAGATGCAATTCTACTGACAAATGGTATGGACAAAGAATATGAGGAAGTTTTAAGGAGAAGAGGAACTACAATGAAATGTTTCCAAAAATTAGAATTGGAATGTTTTAGCAACAATGAGGAACGAAGGCTTCAGGAACTTAACACTCAAGGAAATAACAAAAGCAACAGAAGAAAAGGAAAACAGTGGGGGAGCATATTTGGTAAGTTTGAACATATGGATAGAGGAATGTTTATCAAAGACAAACAGGATCATAAATAAGCAGGTATTATAGAAAACAACAAAAGAAATGAAACCATGGAGAACTGTGATCACACATGTCTTAAAAGGACATGGTACATAGAGAATATGCTTCCAGCTCTATTACTCATGATACTAAAATGTTCAGTAGTGTAGGAATAATGACCTGGCAAATGTTCAGATGAGTGCTCCATTCTTTACTTCCACTAGTTCAGACCTTTACAACTAAGACAAGCCATACCACTTCCACAGAGTTGAACCATCTTTATTTCCTTTGTATTCCAAATATAAAGAGTAAGTTTTACTCAGTGTCCCCCTCCCCCAACACCAAGAACTTTGTAGAACAGGCTTCCACATGCATGTTTCCCTGGATATTACAATCTTAAATGCTTCAAGTGAAGGGTCACTTGTTATCTATCCTTCTTATCCTTACAATCTTCACTTCCTATTACTTCCTCTTTTATTCATATTACACATCTCTTACATTATAAACATTTTTACATTCATGCTCTACCTTGATTAGCTCCTGAGCCTTGTATTGGGTGAACATTAGTAGGGAAAAAAAAAAAAAAAAAAAAAAACACAGAGTCAAAGTATATACTAGAAAGTGTTTACTCATTATATACAACTGATTGGTTTCATGTAGAGTCCTCAGATTTGGTATGTATACTTGCTAGATCCAGTGGGAAGGTTTCAATATAAAAAAAAAAAAAAAAACTTTAGTTGTCTCATGAAGAAAGGGAAGCTCCACCTATTTTTAGAAATATCTTAAATTCCAACAATTCCAATTTGTAACTGGTCAGTGTAACAGGCTTACACTGAATGGTTATAAATTGGAATTTTTAAATTAGTTTCCTCCCAGACAGAAGAGTATGGTTAGAATTACTAGTTACCAAGTACTGAAGAAAAAAAAAGTGAAAAATTCTTAACATTTAGCACTCCAAGGTGATTTCCTTTGTCAAGCAAAATGCATGTCCAGCCAATACAAATGATACTGAGTGTTGAATAATACTGTGTTCGAATTGTGCAGTTGTGTTGTCATATCCTACTAGGGCAACAGTAAAAAATAAGATTAAGGAATCATTTTATTATTATTACAATTGTCTGTATCCAAGTTTGACTTCTTGTGTAAAATAAAGACCATTTTTTTAAAACAATAATTATTTGTATAAGATTTGCTCATAACTGAAGATAAAATCTTTTCAAAACAAATGCCTTGTTTCTTTAAAATTTAAAAAAATGCAGTTGTAAATTTGAAAAATCTTACCTTTTTGTCCAGATTTTCACCAGAAAAATTGAATGTAATAATTTCACCTGCTTCTGAAAGCTCTTCTGCAGAAACCTGATGCCAAGAATAAGATCTTTGTTAAAATATGAAAAGCATAAGTACTTATCTGAAGACATAAATTGAATTAAAAGCCAATGTTGAAACTAAAGAATATGATGAAAGATACTGTCATGGTTAAACTCACCTCACAAAACATTTGATAGTGTAGTGAGTTTTGATTCTTACCAGCTGTGTATTATTATTATTATTATGGCCTTGTACCAGACTTATATTATTATGGCCTTGTACCAGACTTGGTGAAACTGTTTAAAATAAATAAGTAAATAAATCGCACATATGTGTAGAGAAAAGTTGTTAACTTAACAAAAAGCTCTTCCCCCCACCAATAAAAAATACTCAGGTTTGGGAAGTGGGTTAGGCTAAGAACTTTTTAACACAGCAGAGAGTGTGTGTATGCGTATATATATATATATATATATATATATATATATATATATATATTCATGGAGACCTACTGGGCACTATTCGCAACATACTTGTTGACAACACTAATATAATAGCATCATCTACATGCAAAAAAAGGCTAAAAATAATGGAAGTCCTATTTATAAAAAACAAAGAAACCAACACTTAATAATATTAACTTTGAACATGGACACATATCTTGACCGTGTTTTGAAAAATGAAAACATTTTATAAAACATACATACAACAAACTATTTCTTATTTAACATTTAAAAAATTTCATCCTTGAAAATGGCTAAATGTATAGCTGAAAGCACTTGGATAAAAAGAAAATTTGGACAGTTTTTATAATCTATCATCCAAAAAGAAAAAAAAATATTAAATTGCATGAGATATTGTATAAAAAACTAAATAAAAGCACCTTGTCTGTCGTATTCAATGAAATGAGCATGATTGCTGCCTAAATACACAAATATATAAATAAACATATTTAGGCACAAGTATTTATCCAAATAAGTTTGACTAAAAGGAACTGAAGTCTGTTTAACATTTTTTATTATATTTTTCTAATTTTCAAATAAGGTGTTGATTATTGTGACTGAAATTGTGAATAAACTATTCAATTTAAAAGTATTTTTTCATTGCAACACAGAAATTTCAATGTTTTGGAAGTAAAATTATTGTTCCATTTTCAAGTGATATTCAGTAACTTCAGAAAAAAATGATTTACTTTTGAAAGCAAAGTAGTATTATATTGAAAAGTTTAAGTAGGAAGGGGAATAAGTTTTCAAAATTATTTTTATGGGTATTGTTTTATTTGATGAATGCAAAGTCATATCTAAATTAAAGTAGAAAAGTGAAAAAATGTAAGTTAGAGGTTAGGTGTGGGTATGTAATTCATGCTTGTCTAGATGAGCCATCTTGTATTAGACATGTCACCATTGCTTCCTGTTAAGAAGATACATTGAAATAATAGAGAGAGGTACACGTATGAAACAATAGGTTAATTTGGGCATTTTATTTTTATAACCTTCTAACCTAAGGTCATAATCCGGACGCACACACACACATATATATATACATACATACACACACATATATATATATATATATATATATATATATATATATATATATATATATATATATACACACACACACACACACAGTTGTTTTGAAAATAACATTTTTAAAATTATTAAATTTTAATAACACTTTCATTTAAAATATCATTTTTATACAGAAAGAAAACACTTCATGAAGACCTCATGTTTAATGGACTGATAGCAATCTTGTGTGTTTAAAAAAAATCAAATCAAAACTTTCCTTATTTCTAACAAACTATTGATAGCATATTCACTCTAAGGCTAAGGAATTGTATTCAGGGTTACCACACCCTTTCACTATTGTAAGAGAAAGTGGGGGCATCATAAATGTGTACAGGCTGATATATAAATTAAAAAAAGATCAGTTTCAGATCTTATCAGAGATCAGTTTTAATGTAAAGGAAATTATTACTGATTCTAGTTCTGGAGTGTATTTACCAGAATTAATGATTCTAGCAACTTCAACTACATAAGTCAAAAGAGACATACAACAAAAATAGGAAATGATTTTTTGGTTGTCATCAGTTATGTAATGAGTGGCATGTGAGAAATTTTAGAGTAAATTTATATTAGGTTCTTTTATGTGGGGGTAACACAACAACTCAACTGATAATAGCAGGTAGGAACAAAAAACCGCGAGGAGGGTAGCCGACAAAACCGGTGTCACACGTCCAACCTTCTCATGAAAGGGATCTGAAACAGAAAAACGCACCTGCTTTATACAGCCGAGGACTGACCATGATTTGCATGTGAATGACGAGACACTTTAGATTCCCAATCGTAAAATAACCAAGACCGCCTGCATAAAACATGGGCGCCAACATTTTTGTTCCTTTTACCGCTAGCAAACTGGAGTTTGCACATCGCACAGATTCAAGAGGCGTTCGAGGTAGGCCATTTTCACAATTTTCCCACATTTAAAAAAAAAAAAAAAAAAAAAAAAAATATAGAATAATTTTAGAAACACTAGAAATTACTACCATGTGGGCTAACTGGTCATTCCATTGCCAAACAGATGTTATTTTGTGAAAAGCCTTTTAAAGTTGACCCCTCATTGAGAAAGGTCAATGCAGCTAGCAATCGCACGCCAGGCTTTAATGAGTGAATGCAATCAACCAGTTCTAGTTATAATTAAGCTGGGAATTGAATTTGCTAAATTAATGAATGACAAAGGACTTCCAGAGAAGACTCTAGGTGATTCTAGAAGCCCCGGAAGTGTTCCCCCACACAAAAGGTGAAATATAATAGGAAGAGTCAGTTGAGGACGAATTTAAGAATGTTCCCCTGTAGAGGGCAGTTTAATAACCTGCTGCTAAGACACGGCTATCAGTTCTCTCTCTCTCTCTCTCTGCAATTCACACAATCAAAAAAAAATAAATATGGAAGAAATCAATTGACGTAGTCAACAAATTTACATCCATGTGTTTTTTTTTTATAAGATGCAGGAAGAGAATTTAGTGCTACCATGAGTGACTACGTCGCACATCATGTTTTAGAGCAATGAGTGGCATTGTTACGTCATCAACAAAGTTTATAAAAAAAAATAAACAAATAGATATAAATAACTTACAGTTATTGACCCTGATCCACCTCGACTCAGAGTTTTTGTAAACGGAGAACAAGAGACGACCTTAAAAATAGTAATTATTTAAAATTAAAAATAAATAACATTTTTCAAAATATACTGAAAATCAGAAGTTAAAAAGGAATTATCTTTTAAAATAACATTCACCATGCACAAGGCCCAAGAGCCGCTAGAGGTAGAGGATTACAGAGTAAGAGGTACAGTTTCTGGGGATATGTGGGGAAGATAATGATTAACTAGACTTTAACAGGTTAAGCTTGTAGTGATTGGGGAAGCATCCACATGAGAGTCAGTTCCACAAAGCAGCAGTTTGTGGAAAAAGTTGCTAGAGTGAAATTTACATCTCACAAATGGAATGAGTATGGTTCGTTACTATGTACCTGACATAGTGAGTCTTATTCGTGAAGGTTAGAATTGGTGGAACGAAGGAATGTAACTCATCTGAACACTTTCCACAGAAATAGTGATATAGTAGCAGGAGGCTTGCAATGTCTCATCTGTGGGAAAGGGGTTATAGATTGGAAAATAATTCATTACCCACAAGGACACAGAGACACTTTTAGACTATCAAGACTAGAATGTGAGGACAGGGCAGCCCCTGTCCACATATGACAGCAGTACTCCATTTTCAGCCTTATCTTATAAAGGTAGTGTGTAGCTGGAGTCACATACTCACTTGAATGGTACAGGGAAGTGACCTTTTTGTATCTTTAGTGATGGATTATATATGTAAGAGTTTGACTTGAAATCTGGTTTAGTTTATTTTGTTTTATGGTATATCAACCTCAGTGGGTTATTTAATACAGACAAGATTTTTGGGATAGATTCGTATGAATCTTTTTTTTTTTCAGAAACAAATTGCTGGTAATATTTTTTTCAAAAATGTATTGCTTATATTTTTATTATAAAAATCTATTTTTATACTTTCATAATGTTTTGATCTCAGTTTGGGGGGCTCACTATTTGCCAATAGCTAGGACCCTAACAGGTGCTACCACCCTGAGTCAGGGTAGACCTGAGAACAACAGCAATTAGGATGTGGTTCCACTCTCCTCAAAACCTCCCATCAGAGGTCAGAGATGTAGTTTATCATCATACCCAGGATGATTGAGATCTGGGTTGAGTTAAAGTTCCAATAGGTGCACAAGGCACGGAGCCTGCCCAAAAGAATACCCATTCATTACAATAGGTGAAAGTTCAGATTTGTACATAGATAAACAAAAGACAACTGATAATCATTTGAAGAGCTATTCAAACTGACCAATTAATTTTGTTGCTTTTATGATTACCATATTTTGGAGAATCCATTGTAAAGCCTTGTTCAGATAAACAATCTACAAGGAAAAAGGAAACTCTCCCATTCCTTAGAGATTGTACATTTAAAGAAAAATACATCAGTTGAAATATTTGTTTTTTTTTTTTTTTTATCATTTCACCCCAAGCAAGCTGGGAATGTCACTATTATGCAGGGGTTTACAGGGAGTGAAAGTGAGAGAAAAGACTGGGTATAGAGGTGGGGAATTGAGGAAAGGATAAAATATGGATGGGTTTCAAGAAGACAGAAGATGGTGATTGATATTGTATTTAAATTTTTGAAAACAGTAGTTTTCAGAGAAGCAAGTAAAATGAAGGGAGTTCTACAGGTAGAAAGTGCGAGAAAAGAAACTGTTGGAGTAGAAGTGGCAGTTACATTTCAACAGTAAAATGGTGGAACCTAGATGCCAATCAAGTAGCATGCTTAAATTTATGTAGTTGGAACACCAGGAAAAAAAAGCATGTCAGAACAGTGTGACACTATTTAGCTATGGTAATTGGCTAACTAATTAAGCATAAAAATTAAAAACGAGAAATACTTAAGGCGAGAAAGAGCTATAACGAAAGAGACTGAGCGACATTTTTTTTTAACAAAAAAAAAAAAATGAATGGGAAAAGATTTTATTACATTTACGAGGAAAGATACTTTTTCCACAGAAGGCAGAAAATCCGTAAGAGAAAACCAGATTTTGGATTCTGTCAGAATTAATTAATGTCATGATCAGATAGTGACGCAACAAAGAAAAGTTTTGGTTCTTGTGTCCAGTGAGGAGACCCATCTGTTGTATGTCCGGATCGTGACATGAGAAGAGAGGGTCAAGAAGGCGGATCATTATTGTCAGACATGGTGACTCGAAAATGAGCATCTGGTGGCACGAAAATTTTAATACACAAGAAAAATAAAGAATTTGTTTATCAAGTAAAAACTACCACCCAGTTTGAAGGTTGACTAGCAGTGATTAATGAGTCGGTGAAAATTCTGCTAAGTGGATTTTGGGTGGCTCAGGATAAGATAAGAATTTAATTAGGGGCACGTGAAATTCATAAGAATTCTGGCTGATAGAAAAGAAGGAAAGAAAGGAAAAGAGAATTTTTTTTTTCTGGACGATAATTTTAAGAATGTCAAGTCTACCCACATCCATGCTGCCGAACGATCATTGGCTGAGTGGTGGTGTGAGTGATGGGTGAAGGTGAATATATGAGAAAGGCGGGGAAGTTTTTGACACCCACTAAGAGGATTGGTATGAGATACCAATATGAGAAAGGAAGAGTCTAGGAGGATAATTCTCCTCTGATCTCTCCTCACGGACGAGGGAGAAAAAACCCCAGATTCAGCTTGCACTACAGCCCTACGCCTGATGGATTTCATCTACCTAAGATCAATGTCACAACGTGGGTAGGTTAGACTTGAGATCAAAGCAGTTACTTCGGTGACCAGGCATTGGATGTGCGCTGAGAACGACAAAGTTGGTATCGAACTGGAAACAACCAGATCGATCGGGACACAGGCTGGTGGCAGTGACAACGAGTCAACCCCAAACGCTGGTGGAAGAAACCTTACAGCTTCGCGCTGCAACTGGGAGTTGACCACGCAGCGTTAAATGTTGACATCACGACCAGTGGACGTCACATATTGGCGCTGGACTGCGACCACTGGTGTGTGTCAAAACAGTTGCCATGAAAATATTTGTAGAAAAGACAGAGGGAAACCACATCCCATCTGTATGAAAGTGACTGAAGTCGAGATGCCAAGTCAAGATCAATTACATTGCAGATCCTTCTTTGAATTTTGTCAAGAACCTTGAGATGGATAACAAGAGCACCAGACCAGATATGGCAACAGTATTCAATGCACAGATGAATGGTAGATTTGTAAAACTAACCAGAAAGGAGGTCAGTCATCCAAATAAATGTTAGCTTTCTGACTTATCAAAATTATCAAATTGTGACAATCATTTATAAACAATAACATTAAGTATTACCAGCAAATTTTTAGCTTTAACAACATTAGTAACATGTCAGGCTAGTAATGTTTATTACAAGAAACTGAAAAAAAAAGAAAAAAAAGAAAAGAAAAAATAATGGGTATATGCAGAATACTACCCCTAATATTTTAAGATGAAATGGTTTTGTAAATTGCTTTTTTAAAGCATAAATATTTTTCTTGCTTGGCTATTAATAGTAAAAGAAAAGGTATAGGCTTATATTGAACAGATATAAATTGTAATTGTTAGAATAGAGGATATTTCTCAAAATGGAGCTCCCCTTTGAGTAGAGGGACATGGTACATAAAAAGAGGAGAAAAATGCAAATGTTGATCAAATCTTTTGTTGGTAAGGGAGAACAATAAATTTTGTTTGGAAACAATTTGATGATTAAAACAAAACAAAATAGGAAAATCAATTGTGGGTTTTGAAGCTGAACGTTTTTAAAATTAATTTCCTCTAGGGTAGAAGAGTATAGTTAGAATTACTATTTACCAAACACTGAAGAAACTGAAAAATTCTTGTTAAATATTGAAGTTAAATCTTGCATTCATAACTTCTGTGTAATGTACATTATGAATCTAATTCTCTTAAAATATGACAGATGACTGCAAAGAAGAGAAGATTCCTATTGTTCTTCTGCTGCCAACAATGTATATATAGGTTCTCAAGACACCATAGTCCTTAATATTTGCATTATAAGTTAACTAGTACTATTTCCAAACAAACAGACATATAGTACCATACAACTTATTTTGTGACATATTTTTTATTTCATGTTCTGAATGTTATGCTTTGTTTGTGCTGCAAAGTATCTGATAAACTAAAAACTGTACGAAATAAGAGAGATGACATCACTTGAGGACTACCAACAGCAGCAACAATGAAAATGGATAGCACATGTAAGTCAAAAAGAAAATAATGACATAATCAAAATGTTGACTTTCTACACTACTTCAAACAAAAGGTTAAGATTGAAGCCCCCATCAATACCAGAAAGAGCAATAATAGTTACTGGACTTGAAAAACCAGTTTTTTTTTTTTTTTTTTTTTACAAGCCAAACATATTTTGATGTCATACTTTGAATTGTGCAAATAATTCGATTCTTTTTTGCAAGATAATATTGCATTAGCAATTTGGGGGCTTGGGGAGATAAAGTGGATTTTTTTCACATGCAAATCTTACTATTTAACCCATAGCTAGGAGATTTATTTTAAGATTTTATAAATTTCAACTGACAGTAGCACTGATTAATTATTCAATGAATATTGTTTCCTCATAAGGAAAAGGATAATATTACCATTAGATACATATGCAACATTTTGATCTTGGCCTGATGGCCAGAGAGATGAAGAAAAATGTAACAAGTAGCACTAGCTATTCAGTCAATGAATGCTGAATGTTTCCTTATAAGGAAACAACTAATATTAAAATTACTATTAGAGATAATGGAGGAACAGATACTGCACTCTGATCTTGGCCTGATGGCCAGGGAGATGAAGAAAAGCATAACTTGAGTAACATTGGTGTCAATGAATGCCAAATGTTTTGCTATAAGGAAATAGCTAATCTTACCATGAGAAATTTAATTCATCAATGACAAAAAAAAAAAAAAAAAAAAAAAAAAACAGCAATGACCCACCTGTCCTAAAGAACATTCTATTTCGCCAAGAAAGTCATCGTCAGAAAGGGTGGATGTTTCATTGTCAATATCATACACACAAATCTTAAGCTTCTGGACTTCTTCGAAATAATAACGGATTGGAACTGGTTTTGAAAATTCTGGATTTAAGCTGTTGGTTATTTTCTCTGTTCTTCCCACCTGAAAATATACAAATATTAAACATTTCAAGATGGTGAGGAGAAGGAAAGAGTAACACCACTTAATTTTTTTTTTTTTGTTTGTATTCTTTAATAGCTTGTTCATTTTTACATATGTCTCTTCTTATAGAGGAAAAAAAGAATACTATTGCCATATCTGGTCTGGTGCTCCTGCTATTCATCTCAAGGTTCTTGACCAAATCCAAAGAAGAATCTGCAATGTAATCAATCATGATTTGGCATCTCAACTTCAATCACTTCCACACTGATGTGACGTGGCTTCCCTCTGTCTTTTCTACAAATATTTTCATGGCAACTGCTCTAACGAGCTTTTTTTCCCTGGTGCCCTGACAGCATGAATTTAAGTGTGCTACTAGATTGGCATCTAGGTCCCACCTGTTTATTGTTAAAATAGCTAAATGTAACTGCCACTTCTACTCCAACAGTTTTTTTCTCGAACGTGGAACTCCCTACTGTTTACTTGCTTCCCTGATAAGTACAATCTTCAAAAATTTAAATGCAATCTTCTATCTTGAATCCCGTTTATCTTTTGTCCTTTTCTCAATTCTTCCTATACTTAGTCTTTTCTCTCACTTTTACTCCTTGTGTACTAGTAGCATTCCTGCCTTGCTTGTGGTGAATTCAAAAAGTAAAAAAAAGGAACACTAAAAATTAAACAAATCCCTTTGCATATATACACTAGCAGTAAAGCCCGGCATTGCTCAGGGTTTTATGTAGTTAAATTGCTTTGGGGTTTGAATTATTGAACTTACACATGTATCTGCAGTTGTTGAGGTCACTGATAGGCCAGGAATCTCACTGGTACCAAAATCAATGAGATCAAGGGCAACCGGTGGCAATAGGTGGCTGCTGTGTTGCTGCTTTGTGCTTACCCAGATAATGCCACCCGTTCATAATCGGTCAAGTTTTTTAATTCTGGCAATGTAAAATAGTGGTTGCGTTTTCACTGTAGGACTCGCCCGTTCACTATTAAGTCCATAAATTTTCCCAGTTTTAAGCGGAATACGTGGACGGTAATGTCATGTCTGTGAGTGTAATCCTGTCCGGGTATCTCAAGCCGTTTGGGGTTGCATGTAAACGTTATAAGTAACTCTGTCTGCCCATATTGCCTACCGTATGTCATAGATGTTGTAGGTTGGCCACCTGGAGTATGAAGGGGAATGCTGAAGTGGTAGCCATTATCACCATAAGGGAAAAGTAAAGGGTACTGTAATGCGGGTCTCTGAAATTCTGCGAAGAGCCCAGCCTCTTGATTTGAGGACAATATTGCAAACACAGTCTTGCTCCCCATGTATAATAGCGGCCACTTCGTTGCACGCAGGAGCATTGTAGCGGTATTCGTGTTCAGCATGAGGCCGTTTGTCAGCATCAATTACAATGCTAAAGGAAGGAGAGGGAGCATTTTGCAAAGCATATTTGAAACTGTGAATGTAGCTGTTAACCTCGTGAAGCATGGCCTGAAGTACTAGTATGACGTCCCTGCGAGGAACTCTTCCTGACGGCAGCAAAATACCAATCAGGGTTTTAGCCTGTAGGTTGTAGTTTGCAATAAAGTCCAGTTGAAGGAATTTAGGCATAAAAGTCTCCTCAGGCAGCAGAGACCCAATGCAGTGGTATACCTGCCCCTGTACTTTGAAAGTGGGCATCCAACCCTCTTCTTGAACCACCTGAGCCCCAAATGAGGTCATTTGAAAGGAGTTGTTGTATTGCCTAATTGTTTTAAGGAAGTGGTTGGAGTCGGGATGGGAGCTGGCTATTAGTCCCCTCAACGGGGTGGGTGGTTCATGCATAGGCGGCAGTTGAACTTTGCCGGAGGAGCAGCACAGACCGGCAGGCACCCCGGCCCATTTGCGGGCGTTGCAGAATTGTCAAATGCAGGTCATGGACCCTACATTGATGTCGTCATGCATAGTTAAGTTAATGATGGGGCTGTAACTGAAAGCCAAGAGAGACCAAAAAGAGTTACTGGGACAGGTAACACCATGGGGGAACGCAAGGCGTTGAATGTCGCCTTTGAGGCATATACGGCGAGCTTGGGGTCTTTGAGATAAGCGCACAGCGGCAATGTTTGTAGCAGCCTTGAAAGTCTGTTTGCCCTTGTCTGTGGGACCTCGAAGTTTCTGGCAGCAGAAGTTGCTGCAGCATTGCGGGCATTGCAGGTTGCCCACTGCAGCTCTGTCTTGGACTCCCTCAACCTAGCTGTTGCAGCAGCGTCCCTGGATTTACGGGCGCGCCTGCGGTCATATGTTTCAACTGCCATCGACCTGGCAGCAGTGGCAGCATTCCTAGCATTTCAAACAGACCTATGTAGCGGTATCTCAGCAGCCCTAGTGGTCACTGTTGCAGCAGCGTCCCTGGATTGACGGGCGTGTCTGCAGTCAAGTGTCTCTATTGCCCTTGATTTCACAGTGGCAGCAGTGTTTACATTACGTTAAGAAGCCTTTGATGATGAATCTCGTAAGCCCAAGATGCTGAGGTGTTTGCTGCACCCTGTGCGTTCATTCTCGACCGTTGTGTTCTTGAGCCTTGATCACAAGGAAGCCCTGTAGGAAGCCTTCCCAGCCAAGCAGGTGGCACACTCCTCTTGTGACTGCGAGGCCTGCGTGAGGGGGCTGCATTGATTGACCTGTGACAGTCGCATTGTAGTCTGCTCCTTGGACTCGTGGGCCCTTCTTGCTCTCATAGCGGACACTCTTGCAGACTGAAGGCTAAGACGTACCCACCTTTTTGGCGGCATGGGGAAAAGTGATGCTAGCAGTGGTTGATTAGTGTTGTTCAATTGCAAGAGTACAAAGTCTAACTTAGTATCGCAAAGTGTGAGCCAGAATCAGGATGGCAGGTATTTAAGTAAAACTGCTGAATAAATTGTTTATGGTAGTTTGAAAAATGTAGTTAAACGGAAAACAAAAACATGCGGTAGGAGAAATGATCAGTTAAAGGAGCCTATTGTATCAACCGGATGGCGGCGTAACAGGAGCAGAAGTGAGACCTTCGTCCCACAGCTGTGCACAGCAGGTTCAAATGTGAAGTATTACTGGCCAATTGCTTTTGCATACTAGGGTCTCGAACACCAATCAGCGACCGCGTACTGTCCTCAGCCAATGTAATACTGCTATGTGAAGCATGGTCACACATGTGTGAATAACAATCAGATGTAGATTCTGTAGTGTAGATGTCTCAGTTGAACATACGTTTGATTGGTGTATTCGCAAATTCCGATAAAGACATGATTGTATTGACTTCCCTATTAGTTGGTCACAAAGGAGCTCACAGGGCAAAAGTTTTTAATTATCATGACTAAAGCTGATAAAGTTAATCAAAATCCCAAGTAAGTTGCGAAAAGCATCGCCAAATTCAAGTAAGCTTGATTTGAATGGGAAGTCAAAAGGGATATGATTTCATCGATTTTTATCCAATAATTGAAACCGATATTGATAACGAAAGTCAGCATCTCAATACTGTCGGAAAAATACTATGCTCAACGGGAATTTTGCTGAAAATTCTTCGCCATTTGCGAAAAATATAGCTAAAAATCAGCTAGACTGGACTTGAATCGGATGTCCCAAAGTGATGGATTGTATCGATTTTTTCCAGTAATTGATATCGATAATGAAAATGAATGTCACCACCTCATAACTGTTGATAAAAACAATGCTCAACGTAATTTTTGTGGAAATTCTTCGCCATTTACGAAAAATATAGCCAAAAATCAGCTTGACTGGATTTGAATTGGAAGTCAAAAGTAGCATGATGTTATCGATTTTTTTTTTGATAATTGATACCGATATTGAAGAAAAAAGTCATCAACTAATAACTGTTGATAAAACTAATGCTCAATATGATTTTCTTGTAAAATCCTTGCAGTTTGCGAAAAACATAACCAAAAATCAGCTACATTGGATGTCCTAAAGTGATTGATTTTAGCGATTTTTTCCGATAATTGATATCAATTTTTAAAAATAAAGAACAGCACCTCAAAACTATAAGTAAGGACATTGCTCAACGTGAGTTTGGTGGATATCACTTGTAATTTGTGAAAATTATCACTGAAAAACTGATGAATTTTTTCAAATCAATATTTGACCTCTTATCGGTTTTATCAATTTTTTCCAAAATTGGAGGAATAATCAAAAAATCCGAAGATGTCAAGTACGAATGCCATAAATTTCCAATCTGTGTGTGAATTTTCATGCCAATCGGATAAATGGTTTGCTCAGGATGAGGTAACAAGGTGACAAACACACAGACACACTAACAGAATGCCATTTATAGATATAGATTAGACTTTTATCTTACTTTTTTCTCCTTTTCTATTCCAGATATGAATTCCTTGAGAAATTTTTCCATATCATGATATTGTTGGAACCATTGATCAGACAAAGAGAGAGACAGTTCGACTGTGAAAAGTCAGGATATTACACCACATGTGAAAGAACTTCCCATCAGAGCTTCCCATCAAAAGTTCTAATTCATCAGTTTTCAGATTCCAATTGTTTTTAATAGTTTCTTTATCCTTGGACTCTAAAATCTCCCTTTTTTAAACTTCACAAATCATTTCAGACACATACCTCCACCTACTGCATCATTAGCATAAACTTTGACAATCTATGGCCTTGATTCTGCTTCACTTCTTTTTTCACCAGATGAAAACGCTTTACCATTTTTTTCTTTTCACCAGATGAAAACGCTGGACACTTTTTTTCTTTACACCAGATGAAAACGCTTTATGCCTTTTCAGCATGAAGAGTAAAGTGTGAAAAGTGCATATTACATTCAGTCGATTTTCATAAAAATATAGAATTATTGCATTTATGAAACAATTCTCGAAAAGTATGCATGTACATAGTATAAAAGAGTGAGTGAACTTGAAAGACACTTCTAAGATTTCCTTAACATTGTGCAAAAGATGGTGCTGGAAACTTTTGTACAATCTAATAATTATTTTGAGTGAAGATAGCATAATGGATATTGGTAGAGAAAGTAGATTGGTAATCAGTATTTAAATTCCAACCTAATTTGTTACATTCACTTTTACACTAATGCTCTTGGAAAAGGTATGAATTCATCTTCTCCCAGCTATGAATTAAATAGCTGGATAGCCTGGGATCTCTAGACTTGGTTAACAGCCATGTGAGAATAAGGACCACTCTGAAACTGGAGAAGGCAAAAGGAAACCACTCTACTATCAATCCCCAAAAAATCAAAGCAATTCAAAGAGTCTGTGGAAAACCATGATCACATGTTCTGAAAGTGCATGGTATTTAAGATAAAAAAATAATTGTTTTACATTCTCTATTTTTGTAATTACCACAAGAATTGGAGAAGGCTACCATTTCTCTCTCTAAAAAAATAAAAAAAATAAATAAATAAAAAAAAAAAAATTCTAGGCTTGTGTATATATGATTCTATAATAGATGTAATAAAAGATATACTTCCATTTAAGCTCCTTATTAGTTTATAACTTGACTCTGTGTCATCAGTTAAGTTCCAGATGTAATACATCCTTGGGCAAACAGATTTCTTTCAATTCATGACTGACTCAGCAGAAAATTTTCCTGCATTAGGTTGCCATTTGTTTCTGTAGCAGACTGGTTGCCAAACAAGGCTATAGGTCATAGTCTGTCTTGCTATTCAACTCATACCTTGGGGGGAGGGAGGGTGGAGAGAAGAGATGGATTCATATCTTTCTCAAGAGTATTTGTGAATAAGTAAATGTAACAAACCTGACTGGAATTTGAACTCGGTTCTCTTATTTCTCATCCAGAGGCATTATCCCTTACACCACAATACACATCCTCTATGTGTCACAAGAGAGCTAAAATTAGTTGGTCACAAATGCAGCTGAACTGGATTGAATTTTGGTGTGTATTAAAAGTTGAATTTTTCCCTTTGACAAATCATTATTTACCATATTTCCTGGCACGAGAGACATACCGACTTTCAAGACATACTCTTAAATTATCTAGCTGAAGAAAAGGTCTATGCTTAAAATGGTGAAAATCAGCTGTTGCCATACCAACTCTGAGATTGCTAAGAAAATGCAGAGTGCTTCAATGAAATGACAGGTGAATGCAGCCCAAACAAACAGCCATATGGTATTATATAAATAGTAGCCGTTAGGTTCTGTTGTATATTTTAATATTATGCTGGCCCAAAGCTCTTTTCACAGGCAATTTGTTGAAAGAGGAAAATTCTAAATAGAACAAGTGGCTCTAGGTGTTAACTATTGTTTATTGCAACTAGTATAACAAGTTATCTCCCCCTTCACAACTTAATGGACTGTTCTTATTAGCAGTGGCAGCAGCAGGAGCATAGACTTGTGTCCCCTTCTGACCAATGTGGATTGGACCATTAGATACTATTTAAAATGCTGTGATTTCTCTTTTGACACTTTAACTTTGAGTTTTGGCCAAGTAACTGTCTAACTCTCTGCTTTTGGGCGGAGAGGAACTCGGACGAGGCTGCGCCGAAGGGCAGAGTCTCGTTCGGGGTGGTTGACTTGCCCCTGAACCCGTTTATGCGGGTTCAAAGAGGGAATATTTTTGGCCGAGCATACAGGCTCGGAAATCCCACGTTAAACCCGGCCTTGTGCCACATGTTACCCTCGCAAGAGGTTTCTGAGTGTGAGAGAATATGAGAAAAAAAAATTATTAAAGAGAATAAAAAATAAAAGAACAGGAATTAAGACAGAAGATAATGATTGATATTGTCTTTAAATTTTTGAAGATCAAAACTTACTGGAAAGTAAGAAGCCAAACAAGAGTTTGACAAGTGAAAAATGCAAAACAATAAACTGTTAGCATAAAACTTATGATTACATCTAGCCATTTCAACTGTAAAATGATTACTTGTAAATTCATGCTAGCTCAACTACTGATGGCTTCTGAACAGTTTTGCTTACCCAGTTACAATCATGCGGCTTGAGTCAATCCTGTATGATTTTCGGGCACTTCTTGAAAAATTAACCATAGTAAGATTCAAGCCCGGGCCTAATCGTTAGAATGGTGACATTCTAACCACTCTGCAACACACATACTCTTAATCACTTAAACATATATTTTTTAGTAAATGACATATCAGAACATATTTATGTATATAATATTAACTGCATTTTATAAACATCAAACAATTAAGCTCAGGAATGGCTGAAAATCTTTTTTCAAAATCTAATAAGGTGGGAGGATATCATTTTCTTAGAACTGAATTTTTTTTTTCTAGGAAGTTCTGTGAAAATAAATAAGTCAGTGAGGAGTTTCAAAAATTGATAAATAGTTTGGTATAATTATTACAAATGCAAGATTACCTTTTACATTTTTAGGCCATCAAATATGGCAAACAAAAAAAAAAAAAAAAAAAACAGCTCCTCCAAAAAATTATGGTTCTAAAAATAGTGATAGGTGAATATTTACCCAAATAGAATAACCTATCAGTACATGTCCCTAGATGAACTCGATAAGACTAATATCAAATGATGTGGGAGGTCTTCCATGCTGTTAAATATGATATTTCATTTTCTGTTGTTGCAAAATTGGGTTTATCATTAGTTTTAGAATAAAATCAAAGTATGCACCAGAAACCAGTAACTCAGCCCTGATTTACATTTTGAAAGACATGAGAAGAAAAGGGAAGAAGTGATTTTATTTTACCTCATTCCAGGATCCCCTTTCAAATAAGTAGACAGCAGCAAGTGGATCTGATAAGGACATCAAATCTTTGTTGACTAGATTTCGACATTTGATATACAATTCAACAGCAGTTACACATTCATTAGAAGATGGAGAAATAGAAGGGTACAGTGACATCTGAAAGAAAAATAATATATACTAAATGAAACGGTTACGTTACGGCACAAAAAAATTTAATTCCTCGTATGATTGAATTATGACAATCTAGCAGTATAGTAAAATGGAAAATATGGCAGTAAAGTAGAAGCAAAAAAAAAAAAAAAATATGGCTGTAGGGTCAAAGAAAAAAAATGATATACAGCTGTAGAGTTCAAGAAAAATAATTTTAATAAACAATAATAGTTGCATTACAGCATTTACTGTATTTGAATATAGACAGTGTATGTGAAGCCAAATTGGTTAATGACTTTGTAAATTAAATCAGCAAACTAAGTTAAAATTCCAGATGACATTGTGTTTATTTAGAACTAATGTCCTTGGAAAAAAAACATGAATTCATCTCTTCTCTACTGGGCTTTAGGTTAAATACAACACACTGGGCTTTCTAGTCTTGTTTGGCAACCAATCTAAGAGAAGGAGAATTCTGAATTCAAATCCATGGAGAACGTAACAGAAAGCAACTCCACTACATAATCTTTCTCAAAATGAGTTATAAAAATGCAGAATTTTCAGATATTACAAAAGAATAAATAAAAAGGAAGCTATGGAGAACCAAGATGGATTGTTTACATCCTGAATGAACATAGGTAAAAATTTTGGCTTTTCTTAATGCTCACTTTCTTTACAACTACTTCACAGCTCTCCTGTTTAGCTTTAGTTTAAATATTTTTACAGACAGGAAAAAATAATTTGATGAAATGAAATTTGCAATTTTTGATTTAAACTTCACTTTAGCATATTTCAAAAATCAATGTGCATGTAATGATTTGAAATTCATGGAAAAAACAAATAGATATCAGTGGTTGGAAATTAATACAGTTGTTAATTACTAAATTGAGTTAAATGTGTACAATGTCATACAAATCATTTATGATTTAATACTGTGGCAAGATTAAAATGGATAAAATTTGCATGCATGTACATATATTTGGAAGAACATACAAAAGTCTACATAAAAAAAAGAACTGCTCTTGACTGAAACAATGGCAAATATACAATTTTTGGTCATAAAGAACTACTCAAATTTGACTAAATCTTAAGCAACTCCACTACTCATGTTCGGATGGCTTCAGCAACTTAAAGGGAAAAAGAAAAAAAAGCAACTTGACTAGTGATATCAGTGTGGCCTAAACATCTCAAAAAGAAAAAGACTGAAACAGAATAAATTATTTTATACTGTCTATATTTCTGAGATGAGATATTGTAACTATGTATACTATTTACATTGTTTGGACTGTTGTCCTCATCTAAAGGGTTCAGTTCAAAATTCCAATCACCTGATGAAGGCCAAAATGTTGTGAACATGACAACAAAGATGAGTTATTTTATACTGTATCCAAGAATTCTACCAGTTTTACTGAGTTACATTGAAATTATCTAATTTCTTTTTATTAGAAAAAAAAAATACAAAAATGAAGCAACCATTTAAGTAACCATGGTACTAATTCTTGTACAAGAATTAAAGAAAACAAAGAAATAAATACTGAACAGCTATGTTGTATTCATCCTTCTGTATGGCAGTAAATATTGGACAATTTCCTCACAGATGAAGAAGAGACCTGAAGCCACAGAGATGTGGTTCTAAAGAGGGATGCTGAGAATACAATGGACTGAACATGTGAGCAACGAAGACATTTTAAAGAAAATCAGGGATGAAATAAATACTTAGAGTCAGAAAGTGACAGCTGAAATTCCTAGGACACAATGAGGAAAGAGGGTGACGAGAATTTGACACTCACAGGACATAATGATGACAGGAGGGTTTAAGGGAAGGCAGTGAGTGATCTCCCAAACAAGTTTATTGATGACAAAGTAGAGATAATGAGGGATGGTAAAAAGTCTATTGTCCTATTGGTAGTGCAAATCTATAATAATGCATTGACTGTATTGTTTTGCAAGAGATATCTTGTCATTTGTCTATATTTTTGAGTTGAGGTATTCTAACTATTTACACTATTTACATTGTTTGAACTGTTGTTCTCATCTTTATTGTCACATTCACAATGTTTCAACTGTTGTACACTCCGGCCTTCTTCAGGTTATTTTTTTTTTTTTTAAATTTTGAACTGAACCAGAATAGTCAATCTATATATTGGCATTTCTGAAGATTGGTTCAATGACATTAGTCTACCTTTTTCCCATGTTTATTTCCTGAAATGGGCTGACATATAACATTCACATTCCTGGATTGTTCAGTAAAGTCACTGGAAAGTACAGACTACATTCTTCACAATAGCTATGCCAATTCTGAAAACATCTATGGTGTGCACATTGTACACTGATGTACAAAGGAATAAAATAAAGGTGACAGCTTTTGCATTGGAATTGAAATTCTCATCTATGAATGTTAAGGTAATAACAAATAGTGGGGAAAAGAACTTGACCTTTGCCAATCTCTTTTGTGATATTTGCAAGTGGTGGGTGAAGGAAATAGAATAGATTCTCAGTGAACTCTTTGCTATGGTACCTAGACTTTATAAATTTAAGCACAGTACTGGAGTGATGGCAAAATCTCATCAAGTCACAGTTGAATTGGCTAGATGTAACCGAGTTTTATACTAACAGTTTCTTTTCTCTCACTTCTCACTTGTGGAACTCTCTTCCATCATGATGCTTTCCAGCCAACTTTGATTTTCAAAAATTTAAACATAATGTCAATTGTTCTCTACTGTCTTCTTAATTACTCTTCTACTGTTTTCACTCCTTTTTTTAATTAAAAAAAACAAACATCAGTATTACCCAAGCAAGGCAATAAAGCCATTAAAACAAAAGGGGTTACAGAGTGCAGAAGAATTAGGAACAGAGACATTAATAATGAGCAGGAAGAGAAAAGAGTAATCAGGAGGACAGTGGATAGCAATTGACATTGCATTTAAATTTTTGGAGATTAAAAGTTGGCTGGAAAGCATGGAGCCAGAAGAGAGTTCCACAAGTGCAAGAAAAGAAACTGTTAGCATAGAATATACGGCTGCATCTAGCTAGCTCAACTGTAAATTGATGAGATCTTGATGTCAGTCTAATACTGAGCTTACATTCATAAAGTCTAGGTACCATTGTGGAGAGCCCATCCGAACAATTACTATATTGAAAGTATTTATAAAAAAGGCACTGACAGGCAACCTTATGGTGGTAGATAAGTGACTGAACCACCAGATCAGGACCAATTATATTGCCGATTCTTCTTTGGATGTCATCAAGGAGCTCAAGGTAAGGGACACCAGGCCATATGTAGCAGCACAGACAAATGGTAGACTTATAGACATGTAAGATAGGCAATTTTTCCCTCTGGAATCTGACACAACAGTGAAGCGACCTTCTTAGCAGCTGACCTAGCAATGGAATGTTTCTTTTTTTCTTATTCTTTCATACTCAATAACTGCTTGTGTCTTATTGGCATTACTGCCTGACATGGGAGGATAGGATTTAAAAAAGAAAAAAATAATTAAATTTATAAAAAGCATAGCGAGGATGTGGCTCTATACTTCAGAGGTGTCTACAGGGTTAACATACAATAAAAAAAAAAATTAGCAAATTTTTGTGCCCACAAAAAAAATGTTGTGTGAAAAGAACAGCTATTCCCTTGACAGTGTTATTACTGTACACTTTTGACTCCATTGGTAATGTGTATTTACAAGATCATAAAAATTTGTGAACCAAATGAAATGTGATATCTATTAGTTACATTTTATTTACCATTTTATAAAGAAATAAATTAAAAAAACTTTTTATTCAAAAATTTATGCAAAATTATCAAAATATATAAACCTTTATGCAATATTTATTATTTACCATTTTATAAATAACGACGAAGAAACAACTATTTTGTTCATAATTTTAGAAAAATATCAATTAACCATACAAAATTTTTTTTTAATAAACATAGTATATATTTGGTTTTTTAAAACAAACATCGACAAAGGAGTCAAAAGTGGATACATCATTTTTTTTGTGGGCACAAAGGTTAAACAATGCCAAAAATTCTATCTAGACAATATTTGTACAATTGTGTATTAAAATTTAAACTTTGTATGAAACCAAAATTCAATAAATTGCATTTGTGACAATTACACTATGAGTCTTTCAAGTAAAACAGACAAAAAGAATGACAAAGGTTGTAAAAAAAAAAAAAATGATTTTGTAAGTAGGAGAACAAAAACAAAAAATCTTTTTAATTTTTTTTTTTTTAAATAACACCTCAAAAAATTTGATGAACTTTTATCAAAATATTTCATCATTTCCTGGAACTCCTCATTTAATTTTAGTCTTGAGGTGGAGATTCATGAAGAAACAAAACACAAAAAGAAGAGGAGCTATATTTTCACACAATGTCAAAGAGCCGCCTGTGACTTGTAATCTGCAGATTGGCCATGGAACAGATAAATATGGATTAAACCTTATGAGGAGTAAATTTACAAGGGGATTAATGAAGATTTAATTTAAACTCAACATTGTTGATCTGGAAAAAGTAGTTTTGTAAGCAAAAGATTGAGCTGAACTTTACCAAATATCTAACCAACTATTTTGCTTTTTACAAAAGTAAGTTAAAATTACAATTAAAAAACATTTCAGTCTGAATTTCTGGGATGAGGAGTTATTACTTACATTCAAACTACTGTCTTCCTCATCTTTGTTGCTGTTATTGTTTCGGCTGCTGTGCTCACCAGCCTTCATCAGGTGTATATTGATCTGGGAAATTTCAAACTGAACTCTTTATTTAATCTATAGATAGACTGTTCTTGTTCCACTGCCTATCTGGGTAAGGTAGTGTGTACTCAGTGGAGTAAAAATAAGAACTAGACAAGATATCACTAGATAGCTAGAGACTATTGATTGAGTATCAGAAGAGTAACCTTTCAATATTGAATAGTAGTCAGACAAAGCGAGATATCAGAATTATTTCCTTTTGGTACATCCATACAAAAAATAAATAAAAATAATCTAACAGTTGCTAAAAGGAAAAAGGAAAATAAAATTCTTTTAAAAAATGGTTCACACTCAACTTTACATTCTTGAATCTTCAAAAATATTCTTTATCTAAAAGAAACTATTTTGACGAAGAGGGTGAATTTGAAAATCGCACTGAAAAATAATTTTTACAAGTAATTTTTTTTTTAAATAAATATTTTTTCTGACCAATCTGAAAGAAGAATGTTTGAAATGATTGAAATAAATGCAAGCACCAATTCTCAAAAAAAATATTGTTTTTTTGAGTTTTATAAAACTTTTATTGAATTATCTTTGGTAAGATACCGGACGAATTTTCCGTATGTCCAACACTCGATATTATATTGCATATTTTTTTTTTTTTTTTTTACTGAAAAATATCTTCTTCAGGGATGGTTCTTTTTACTTTAAGTAACTTGACTGTAAAAACAACTGCACGAACACACCTTAAAATAAAAATTGTACACACAGCATATCAAGGGTAGGGGGTGAAAAATACAAATAATTTCCATGCACCAAAGCAAGAGCAACATTTATTTCACCAAAGTTTTTTTTTTCAGTAAAAAATTAGTTCATTAACCATTACATACAAATAAGTTCTGAAAATTTCGTTTGAATAATTAATTCCCTGATTTTTGGCAAGTATTTTAAAACAGGGGATGGTGATTTTCTGCTTTTCAAAAAAAATAAAAAAAAATAAAAAAATAAAAGCATTCTTTTTTTTTTTTTTGTGGTACAATGCAATAAGCTCTTCTTCTGCAATAATCAATAAAAAAAAATCGATCACGGCAAGAATCCTTGAAAGAATATTTAAAGACTAAAAGAAGATGCCTAGCCAGAATTGGACCCTGCAAAGATGATAAGTGTGCTGCGAGATTTAAAAAAACAAAACAAAAAAAAAACCTGCTCTAAAAAGTGAGTGAGGTATCCAGTCAGGATCGAACTCACCACTACACAATCGAATATAAATCTATCAGATCATCTCGTTCTCTGCAGCAAGAAAGCACATGCGTCTTTCTTTAGACGTATCATTTTTCATAGTTTAGGAAGACCACGCCTTGCCAGATTGTTTGGATTTTTTTATTATGAGAGTTAAGAAGTCGTGTACTGTAGTGGGAGTTAACAAATTTAGTAGTTCAACGAATTATTTTTCCACATGTTTCCTAGTGACAATAGTACACATTAAAAAAAAAAAAACATAAATAAATGTAAATGATAATAAAAAAATCGTCACGTTATTAATAAATGAACAGTAGACATTTTTAATTTTAACTTAAAAACAAAATAAAAAAAATATTTGTTTTCCGTTATTTTTTTGTATATTTACAAAAAAAGAAATTGGACAAAATAAATTATTCTTTAACGAATGATTTGTAAATTGTTTCTTGTTTCATTACAAAATAAAACAAAAAATTGCTAATAAGAAGCATGACACAAGTGAAATTAAGATAAAAGAAATAACAGATAATATTGGTTTGAAAATAAAAGGTAAAACGGTAAAAAATCTCAACAAAACTTGTCTGTTGATAACAGTCGAATCATTTTTTTTTTCTCTTAATAAATCGTTTTTGTCAGCAACAAATAATTAGAGACATGAGTAATTATTTAATCATAACAGTAACAGACTATATCTTTTATTTTAAAAATAGACATTCGAATAAAAAAATAAACAGACTTCAGTGACTGAAAGAAGCAAATAAGTGACATTTTGGGGGGAAAAAAGTTTTGTGAACTCATACGTAAAGTTAACAATAACATTATAAAAAAAAAGTTAAATAAATATAATTATACTCACGTTGAAAAGCTAATAATAAGAAACACTAAGACGATAAATTCTTGATCAAAACAACTCTAGAGGCAGAGATTATGACTAAAACTAAACAGTGCGCCAATATAGAAAAATCATCAAACAAATTATGTTACACCGGGAACTAAAATGTATAAAAAAAAAACATGACATACATTAAAAAGCAGAGATTCGAGGAAAAAAAATGTTTTCCTCAAATTTTAATGAATAACCAGAATTTAATGACTAACAATAAATACATGATATAATTTATGTATTCTTCCAAAGAAAGAAATAACACTTAGTGATGTTGTAATCAGAAATTATCCATAAACATTTTATCTTTAGTCACTATTTTGGGTAATCACCGTCTTAAAAAAAAAAAAAGTTCTAAACTAAAATGTCATTTCTCAAACCGTGACGTGTAGCCCACGATGGAGAGAGAAGATAATTTAACCAGGCAGGTCATATAACACAAAAATTATTCATTTTATTAGCTTTAAAGAGAGGCTTGGTTATAAACGACAGTTTTCGTATATATGAAAATAATATTAAACTGATTTATGCTTCCAAAAGTGCTTTTTTTGTAAGAGCAGTTTCTTTTTTTCTTCTTTTTTTTTACTTTTTTAACAGTTGAGTAACACTAACTTAAAAAAAAAAATTATTAGAAATTAATCTACCATGGCATAAATTTTTTTTCTGTAAAAATCTACTTTTACACTGTGTTTTTTTATGATATAAAGATATCAATTATTTTCTGAAAACACACATCCATAAAAAAATATTTGCTGGAAAAGTACACATACTTTAAACTACCCACCAAAAAAAATAAAGTCACTGGTTTCATCATTGGAAGTGTACAATACATTCTTTCTAAAATTAAAGGAAAACTGAGTAGATAAAAAATAAATTATTAACCATCGTTTATGTACCGTGTACATTTAGGACGTGGGCGATCATGGATCGTCACCAATTTCTATCCTGTCCTTCATATAATGTTACTAATGTTTGTCTTTATTCCACTATGTTTCTGCCATCTACAAATTTATTAGACAGCTTTTTTTTCGTTCTCTTGCCTTCATTATGTCCTGTGAGGGTCACATTCTCCAAGCCCTCTTTCCTTATTGTGTCCCATAAATCGCAACTGCCTCTTTCTTTATGATTCAAAATATAAGTGTTATTTTTATTTCCATTTTCCTTGAAACTTCCTTGTTATATATTCCATCCATGATGTAGAAAATTCAGTCGTTCAGGTATTTTTATATTAAATATCCAAATGTCTGAATTCCAAACAATAATGAAAATAAAGAAAACATGAGTATACCTGTTAAATAAATCATTTGTATTTAAAAACATATGTACATGAATTCAAAATAGTCAAAAAGAAGTAAAAATAGTCTTTAGTTGATTCACTTTTAAAGTTGAAGCGGCCCATGGAGGGGTCACCATGTAAGCAAAATATAAAAATACAATTAAAGATACTGACACCAAAAAATGACTTATAACAAAGGCAGAGTTCTTAATTAAAAGGCCAAAATTTTACTATTGACAAACAACCAACAACACTTTACAATATGTACAATTGTTGATTTGTAAGAACTGAAAGTTGCCACCACCTGGTACGTGATGAAATATTAAAACACATAAAAATTGTTCCAAAGTGTGAATGTGTGGATATGAAAATATGGTTAATTTAATAGTGCTGACAAGGACCAAAGTAACCACATACAAGTGGTAAGTTTTTGGAAATATTCATGTTTGATATAGTGTCCTTGATGAAAGGAAAAGTTTGTGGTTGAAACTCGTCAACATTGATATTGATAATGTGTTGGTGAATGACAAATCTCACTTCATAAACTCTAATGAAATCACTTGAATAAAGTGATTTGGGACTGGTAAGTAAAAATCCCAAAATGGTGACATGCTGAATGAAGAAGATGCTGAACAAGGCATGCCATTAAATAAATCCAGAAATTGGTTGGAAACCAAATCAAAGTGCCGTGTTACTAAGTAGAATTCAATATGGTGATGTGCTGATGAAAAAGAGCACCAAAAATGTAGTGTGGTTGCTAAGTAACCAAACATGATAGTATTAACCATCATAATGGTGTTTCTACAAATATTAAAAGAATTAACATTTAAAAACAATGAATAAATTAACAAAGCAACAAGAACAAATTTAAACAAAGCAAAGGACTGGGTTGCTTGATAGAAAGACAGGATTGCTCAATCGCCAATCTGGAACAACGGCAGAGAAAAAGAAAGAAAAAGCAGTATTACTGCATCTTCCTGAAAGAGAGGGTAAGCTGAGAAGAGAAGGAAAGGAAATATCTGTCTTTCCAAGGAGGAAGAGATGAAAAGGTGTCTTATAGGAATAAAGTGTCATTGCACAGATCACCAGAGAGCAAACACAGACAATCCTATTTTGGATAAGTAGATCACATGATGGCAAAGGAAATGTATATATGGGAATTAGTGTGGCATCTAATTGATCACCATTTCTATTCTATCCTCTATTATACAGATAACTATTTCTACACTATCCTCTATTATTATACGGATCGCTATTCTGTATACTGATCACTATTCAGTGGTTACTATTTGAGGGAGTATTATCGAGCAAGTACTATTAGTTTGAGTGTTATTCAAAGGCGTTTAACACCAGTATTGTTCAGTGGCATTACTATAGTTGTATCTGCAATTACAAAGTCTCTACTACAATGAGCATTATGAAAGTGACAACGAGTATTCATTGATATTACAAAAGGTGCAACAAGTATTCATTGACATCATAAAAAAAGCAAAACAAACAAAACAGGAATGAGGACTGCTTCACTATTTAGGCAGGAGTCGCTTCTACTTCCTTCAGGCAACCCAGGGTGAGGCAGGCCCGATTAGAGGTCAACAAAGTTCTGTGTATATGCGATGTTGTTACAGTCACTTGGCTTGTCTTCCCGATTTCTTTACTTAAGAAATTAAGTAGATGTTTGGAAATCGTTTTTTCTTTAAGCAAAGTTTCCTATTAGTATTTCAAAACTGTTCATCAACGTTTTATGTATTGAATATACATGATTTTCAAAACATTGAAAGTTTTGTCAGAATTCAGAAACACTGGTTCATAGAGGTACATAATAAAACCATTGTTAGTCAAGGAAGCTAACCCACTTCCAGTTGTCAAACCAGTCTTTGGGTCGTTGATCCATAGAAGGAAATTTGTGGTTGAGAAAAGACTTTTATTGTTAGTGAAGAATCATTGACCATCTTTGTTGTTGGGGAAAATTTGTTTGAGGTCACCGACTAATGTTTCTTTCAGCATGTGCTTTATACAATGGGTCAGAGATCAGAAGTTATGACCCGATGTATACATACTAAAAAGTTCCTTTTGAATTCATAAACAGAGCATATATATATTTCAGTTAATCCCCCACCAATACATTTTGAATACACTTGATTTTCCCCTCTTCGTCCTCCTTGCCTTCTACCACATCTCACATCATGCACTTATTCATTTATTTTTTAAAAATATAGTGTTCATAAATTTTTTATTTTTAAAAAATAAAGCGTTAGGATATCAATTGACCGAAATCACCTGAAGATACCAAAAGGTTAAAACCAAGGTAGCAGAATTGGCTGATTTCTAAATTACTATACTTATATATATATATATATATATATATATATATATATATATATATATATATATACACAACTCTTGAAATGATATAATGGAATATGCATACATCCCGGAAAGGGATCTATTTGAACGAAGTAGCTAAGTGGTTTTGGCTACTATAACCAAGTAGAATACGGTAGCAGTAATCGACTGGTACACATCGTAGTTGCAAGTAAAAAGTGTAGATCAATGGCATAGTCCAATGGGCGTCGTTATAGACTTAGCTCTCAGACTAAGGCTCTTTACTCTCCTACACATCCGTTGATATTTATGACGGACACCAGCCAATCATATTCCAGTGAGGGGGAACACAGGTGTATGCATATTCGATTATATCATGAAATAACCTTTCTTTAGATGGGAAAATACTTTTCAATTTCCAATTACTTTTCAGTCACAACTTATTGTTCCTATCTTAAATGATAGGACTAATCAGAAATAATTTGAAGTTTTGATATTTACCATTCTGTGTCATTCTTAATTTCTTGTTTTCTGTAACCTTAAAAGGAATTGTTGAATCTTTCAAAAGAAATTTATCTTTTTGAAGATATATGAAATATTTGTAAAAAAAAAAAAGTGTCAGTGTTTATAAAGAATAGTTCTTTTGCATATGTTTGTTACAATCTTACAGGCTGATGAGGTGGAAGCATTGGCAGCAATTTATGCAGATGAATGGTGTGTTGTGGATGCAGTCTCACATGTTTACTGTATCCAGGTAACAGATGGCCAGGTGAAACCAAAGTGGAAAATTTGTTTACAGGTGAGTCTATATGTACTTCATATTTGCACATATGTTGGGATATAATAATATTTTTAAAATATGATGCATGCTTAGGTTGTAAGTGCAGATGTCTAGATTGTATTATCTTTTTTGTTTAAGTATAATAAAGAGGTACTATCATGAATTTTCTACAGGTGAGACTTCATGGCACTTGCCTTTATCTCCACATAATATAGAAAGTAATGTAGATTGTTTATTTAGTGGCTTCGATTGAGGAATCAGAGAGCAGAGTTCAAATTCCAGTCAAATCCATTACATTCACTTATGTGCTAATATCCTTGGGAAAGGTATGAATCCTATTCTTCTCCTCTGAGCTATGGGTAAATAGCAGGACAGACAGGGTTCTATAGCCTTGGATGGCAAGTGGTCTACCACAGAAAGAAATGGCAACCTACTGTGGGAAAAAATCTGTCTCGTCAGTCATGTATCAAAAAATATGTGATTGCCTAAGCATGTATCACGCATGGCACATAACTGACTGAAGTACTAAAAAGTGGAATGTGCTGGTGGTGTAATGGATAATGGCTCAAAATGAGGGTTCATTACATTCATTTACACTCAAATACCCTTGGGAAATGTATGAATCTACCTTTTCCCCCTCGCCAAATATGGGTTAATTAGTAAGACTTGTATCACTAAAACCATTATTATCTCCAAAATAAATAAAATTGAATGCAAAATATTTAGATTTCAGCAATAAACAACCCATAGAGGTTGATATGAAGCTAAACAAAAATAGCCAATCATCTCTTCTCCTCCCTAACTATGGGTTGAATAGTAGGACAGACAGGGTCCTATAACCTTGTTTGGCAACCAGTCTACTGCAGAAAGTAATGGCAATCTGCTGCCAGAAATTCTTCTGCCTAGTCAGTCATGAATCGAAATAGAAATGATCACCCATGTATGGCACTTAACTAACTGGTTTATGTAGTGACTACAGTTATTAAGATCTCATGATTCTCTGCTTTAAGTGAAATGAGGAGGTATTGTTTTGTTAACAGCAGCAAGAAAACCTGGCATGAGCAAGCTCAAACTTTGATTGCATGACCACAATAGTACCAACTATAAGCACATATTAGTAGAAGGCAATGTAACAAACCTAAAGATATTTTTTTTTAAGCAATTCACCCCAAGCAAGGCGGGAGTGCTACTAGCATGCAAGTGGTTACAGAGGATTGAGAACAAGAGTAAAGAGACGTGTTTGAGGAAAGGATAGAGAGAAGGACGAGGAACAAGATCAAGGTATCAGATGTCGATTAACATTACACTTGAATATTTGAAAATTATAGTTATTAGGTAAGCAAGAGAAAGGGAGTACAACAGATAAGAAGTGTGGAAGAAGAAGCTGTTTGAGTAGAAGAGATGGTTACATTTAACTGTTTTGACAGTAAAAGGGTGAGACTGAGATGCCAACCTGGTAGCTTGCTTAAATTCATGCAGTCTGGGAGCCAGCGAAAGTAGCTCATCGGGACAGTTGCTGTGAAAATATTTCTAGAAGAGACAGAGGAAAGCCAAGGCATGTCTGGGAGAAAGCGACTGTAGATGAGATGCCACATTGCATATTTGTCTCTGGATTTTGTTGAGGACCTCAAGACGTACAGCGGGGGCACCAGACCATGTATAACAGCAATATTCCATGCAAGGCTGGATGATTGATTTATAGATTTGAAGGATGGATTCAGAGGAGAAAAACTTTCTGGCATGACACAGAGAACCAATATTATTATGGTGAAAGTGCAGATAATTTTTAACTTACCTCATATTTTTAATTTGAACTTTTTTTTCTTTAGGTACACATGCCAGAAGAATATCCAACTACAGCACCTCCCCAATACCAACTCACGTAAGTCATGTACTTGATTTAACTTAAAATCAGCAAATATTTGCTGAATAATATTACTTATACGCACCTTATTTTGCTTTTATAGAACATAATATTAGCATATTTCACCTTCTAGACAAAACCTAATATATTTTATAAATGATGATGACCCAACCTGTTATCCAACCCAAACACATTTTTTCAGCTATCCTTTGCCATGCTAATACCCTTGGGAAAGATATAAATCCATCTCCCCACCCTCAAATTATGGGAAAATTTCAGCACAGACTGGGTTCTATAGCTTTGGGTGGCAACCAGTGTAGGAGAAGGAAAAACTCTGAATTCAAACTAGCCTGGAGAAGGTCGGGTTCTGTCAGGCTATCCTACCGAAGACACACTACTTCTACTGTGGCCGCAGTACATGTGGTGCCCCTACGACTCAAACAAGTTACAGAACTTGTGATTGTGATTCAACATTAAATAATCCAAATTAACCAACCCAACCTAATCTGTATTTTATGGTATATAAATCCCCCTCCTCTATTTTTAACAGGGAATATTAAATAAAACATTGTTGGATGTTTATTGTCACTTTGTATTTGGCCCAGTTCAAAATAACTTTTGTTTTCTATCACTTATTATAAATTTATGAAAGTCTAATATTTACAGAAAAAGTGGCTATTATATGACATCATGTCCAGTTTTCCATAGTTTATGTTTGTTCTTTTGAAAAATGAGTAAAAAGTGAGATATTATTGTCTTTTTATTAAATAATCAATAACCCATATCAATAACATCATATTAAGATTTTAACCATGACAATATAACAAAAAAGAACTGAAAAATTGTTTTTTAATGATTGATCAGTTTGGGGCTGGTTTCTTATGAAGCTAAAATTCACAATTTCTTTTTTCTATTTATTAAAACAAAATTTTTAAACAACAAAGAAAAAAAATTTTTTCAACTGTTTAATTTGATAAAATATTTTATTTTTCTGCTGCAATATCTTATTTTTATAGCTGTCCATGGCTGAGAGGAGACGAGAGGAGCCAACTGGAGGCTAAACTTGATGAAATTTACATGTATGTAGTTATAAAACGAAATTCATCTTTTTCATATATAGTGGTGCCTTGACATATGAGTTTAATTTGTTCCATGAAATGAATTGAAATGTCAACCCGATCTGGACCCCCAAAAATACTGCAATTTTTTTTGTTACATGTTTTTAAATAAGAAAAATATACTGGTGCCAATTTAGCGTGTATCCTACCACCAAATTTTTATCCTACATTAACGTAAGGAGGAAAACAAAAATAGAAGGAGGGATGCCATTTATTGTTGTATCATAAAATAAAAAAATTATAAAATAAGAAATTTGACTAAAATATAAAACAAGATATTTAAATCCTTTAAATAAAAACATTCTGAATGTCTTTTAACATATTGAGAAAAAAGTTGGGACAATGCCTTAATAATGTAGGATACAGATGTGTTAGTAGAATACACACTAAAGAAGAAACTGATTGGTAGGACACACGCTAAAGTGGCACCAATGTACTTATGAATAATAAATATTGTACAAAAACACAGTACAATAGAATGTACTGCAATAAACTGGTTTTATTAAGTATAATGTACAGCATTTAACTTGGAGATCAGATGACTTGAAGATGCTGATGAAGGTGGAGGAGAAAGGCCGAACAGAATAACTGAATGTTATCTGCTGATTTTTGCCCTTTTCACCATGCTTTTCTCATTTTCATCTGTAGGGATTTTCAATAAAAACCTGTCTGTCAATGATGTCTGTTTGATCCTCCCTTTAAGAATATTTCTCAAATGAGTTAAGCAAGTGTCATTAAATAGTGCCGTCATATGCTCAGTTGCAACTTTTTTGCGGTGTTTCTTTTGAATAAAGTCTGAAAGTTCCCCCCCACATTCTCAACATTTCCTTCATCTCACTTATAGAGATAACCTCCTCCACATCACCTATTTTCTGCAAAACCACCATGTTGCTGCTGTGTCTGTAGCTTCTCTGTTGTCAGTTCCTCAGAGTGTTCCTTGATGAACTCTGATATCACCTTCATCCATGTCCAGTCCCACTACAATCTCCTCCACCACTGCTGCTTCGGGTTTGAGTCTTTCAAAGTCCATTTCAGACACAACCTCAGGCCACGTCTTCTTCCATGCAGAGGTCAAGGTCCTCTTTGTAACACTCTGCCAGGCCATATTGATAATTCAGAGGCATATCACAATATTATAGTGATCCTTCTGAAACTCTCGAAGGGTGAAGTTTGTGCTCACCATCACCTCAAAGCAGCAGCAGTAGAACAGGTGCTTGGTGAAGAGCTTCTTGATATTAGAAATCACCTGCTGGTCCATGGGCTGCAGGATAGGGTTGGTGTTGGGTGAAAGGTAGAGAACGTTTATAAACTTGAACTCTTTGAGGTTAGGTGGGTGAGCAGGTGCATTGTCCAGGACAAGAAGGGCTTGCAGGGGCAGGTTATTTACCTGGAGATATTTCTTAACATTAAGACCAAAGTCCAAATTCACCCACCCCACAAAGAACTGCCTGGTGACCCATGTCCTCAAGTTTGCCCTCTACATAACCTGCAGTCATTCTTTCAGAATCTTTTGTGACTTAAAGGCTTTGGGGTTTTCCGAATGATAAACAAGCAGCAGCTTAATCTTTCAGTTGTCACTTGCATTGGTGCACAATGTGAGGGTTAGCCTATTCTTCATGGGTTTGTGGCCTGGCATCCTCTTCTCTGCTGTTATATAAGTTCTCCTTGGCATCATCTTTCCTGTTTCATCACAGTTGAAGACTTGGTGTGGGGTGTATCCTTTGGCTGCTATAATTCCAGCCAAAATTTTGAGGTAATCCTTAGCTGCCTTCATATTTGCACTCGCTGCCTCACCATACCTGACAATGGAGTGAATGCCAGTCTTCTTTTTAAAATTCTCGAACCAGCCACAACTGGCTTTAAATGGCTTGCCTGATGCCTCATCTGTTGAAGTGCCTGGGGTCTGTTGTAGCAAATCAGTGCAAATAGCTTGTGCCTTCTCACAGATTATAGCCTCCATCATGGTATCTTCTGCAAACTACTTCTCCATCAGCCACACCATCAGTAGTTTCTCCATACTCATGGATAGATGTCTGCTGTTTAGAAATTATTTTAACACTCTTTGCTGGCATTATAGCCTTTATCGACTTCTTCTGCTTCAGTATGGTGCAGATCGTAGAAATGCTCATACTGCTTCACCAAATTGATTACACACACACTTTGATCATGTTTATCGACAATTTCTTTCTTTAATTCAATGTGCATCATAACTTTTTCTCAGCATTGTCCATCACAGTCACTTTCTTTGGACTCATGGTTGGAAAAACAAAGTTTTGCAAAATAAATGCAAACACAACACTGATGCTTCTGCTGTGAGCTAACCACTTAAATTGAACGAATGAGACATGGGATGCTGGGCAGATGTTGCAGAATTTCATTGTGGCATTTGCAGCGCCAAGTAGTGGTGAGGTATCTGAAGCTGGCTCATAACCCAAATTTTGGCTCTCAACTGAAAGCAAAAAATTGTCTGAGAGACAGTTTGTATCTTGAAAAACTCATTAGTGGGGACTATCATAAAACTCATTAGTGGGGACTATCATAAAACTCATTAGTGGGGACTATCATAAAACTCATTAGTGGGGACTATCATAAGTCAACATACCACTGTATCTCCTTAAACATGACAGAAAAAAATTGTTTTTTTAATTTTCTAGTTAACTTGTTTGTGTATAAGAGAGTATATGTTTACGTCCAATGAGTATAGATTTTTTTTGTTATTAAGATTTGCCCGATACAAGGCTTAAGAGCTACTCAATGTAGTGGGCTCTTGAATAAGGTATGTGATATGAATGTGAAATAAAGAATAAGATTATGAGAATATGGAGAATAATGACTTGAAGAGGTTAAGATTTCAGAGTTCAATGAAACTAACATTGAAATCTGTTCCACAGTGTGGCAGTTCTTGGAGAAAACTTGTCTGAGTGGAACTTCCTCTTTACACTTGGAATACAGAAGAAATGATATTGTCCAAATATTAGTGATCAAGCCCTTTCAACCATTCTTGTGGTCTTCAAGGTTTTTGTTATGTAGACTTGTCATCTAATTCTTGTGGCTCTTTTCGAGGTCTTTGGGCTTATGGCCATAGCACATTGAAAGACTGGTTCTCATATGATCATCAAAATTAAGCAATGTTGATCCTGATCAGTACTTAAATGAGTGACTGCTTGGGAATACCAGGTGCTGTAAGCTTGGATATGTGGGAGGTGTAATGGATTACTGCTTAGAATTGGAGGTTGGAGAGCCAAGTTCTAATTCCAGTAGGGTTCATTATATTCACTTACATGCAAATACCTCTGGGAAAGGTATGAATCCACCTCTTCTCCCCACAGCTATGGGTTAATTAGTATCAGTAAATCATTATTATCTACAAAAAACTTTTACAATCTAAAAATATTTTCTGGCTTTAAATAACCTGCAAAATAAGCTGTAATATACAAATCAATTTCATGGTCTTTGTTATGTACACTTGTCATCTTTTCAAGGTGTTTGTTATATAGACTTGTCATCTTTTCCATATTGAAATACTTTTTTTAAAAATATCAATGTGGCTATTATACTTTGTGGTGATCTGGCTTTGTCAGCAAGCAAACTTCTTCATTCATGTGTTGTCAATTGGCAATGACCAGTCTAAAAGCAAACTTCTTCATTCATGTGTTGTCAATTGGCAATGACCAGTCTAAAAGCAAACTTCTTCATTCATGTGTTGTCAATTGGCAATGACCAGTCTAAAAGCAAACTTCTTCATTCATGTGTTGTCAATTGGCAATGACCAGTCTAAAAGCAAACTTCTTCATTCATGTGTTGTCAATTGGCAATGACCAGTCTAAAAGCAAACTTCTTCATTCATGTGTTGTCAATTGGCAATGACCAGTCTAAAAGCAAACTTCTTCATTCATGTGTTGTCAATTGGCAATGACCAGTCTAAAAGCAAACTTCTTCATTCATGTGTTGTCAATTGGCAATGACCAGTCTAAAAGCAAACTTCTTCATTCATGTGTTGTCAATTGGCAATGACCAGTCTAAATAGACTGATATGACACATGAAAAAAATATTTTGTTTAAGAAGTCAACTCATGCACTTGTATAACAAAGAAGTTTTAAAGAAAATAATAACTACAAGGAAATTGATGATTACAATCAGAAAAAGACAGCTGAAATTTCTGGGACATATGAGGAAAGAAGGCTTGAATAATTTAACATTCAAAAGACAATGTACAGTAGGGGGGAAACAGCAAGTTGCCTAATTAATGAGTCTGTATGAATGGCTGGCAGAACAAGATCAAAGAGAGTTGATAAATGGTTAAGTTAGTTTCACAAAAGACAGGAAGTTGTGGAGAGCCATGATTTCTCACATCCTAAAAGGGCATGTACATAAAAGAAGAAGAATATACTTCTCAATTTATTTGAATTCTAACTAAAGTATTGAATTGTAGATGTCAGTGTAACTATAGCAGTTAATTGTGTGGAAATTTGTATTGACATGCCAAGTTCAAATTCCAGCAGAGGCTGTTGCATTCACTTTTGCACAAACACCCTTGGAAAGGTACGGATCTATTTTTTCTTTCCCCTGATAGGGGGTAATAGCAGATTAGACTGGGCTCCTTAGCCTCAGTTGACAGCCAGTCTAGGAGATGGGCAACACTGAATTCAAACACAGTTTGGCAAGGAAATAAAAACTTACACTGTAGACCAAAAGTTTGAGGAAACTCTCTGGATTTATTAGTAAGTTTTTTACCTTCTTTGGTTTAATTAACTCTTACTAAGCTAGGATGCTGAAACTACTTAACTCATTAGTGCATGGCATCCAATATTTTAGAGGGGAGGTTACCTAAAATTTAAAATCTCCCTGCTTGAAGATTACTATTAGCCAGCAAATTATATTAAGCAAAAAGATTTAAAATTTTAAAGAAACTTAATGCAGCAAGAGGTTGATTTAATTATTAGCCTATTATAATTGTACTTGCCCCTCCTTTCATTAGTTAGCACAATCGTTATGGCCTGCGAATACCTCATAAATAATGGACTATTTTGATCACATAGAAAGATGAGAAAAGACATTACTTGATGAATGAAAGAAAGGAAGGAAGATAGAAGATTTTTAACAGCTGTGTCAGTGAAATGTAAAATGTAGTCAATTTCCAATCTTTTCATTTGTATCCACTTCTTAAAATAAAGATCAACATTCATATTTATGTTATAGCAATATTTTAAAGTTGTTAAGCTCAATTTAACAATACGAGAGGGGAATTTCTACAGATATACTATTGTTGTAGAACTCACCTTGAGCTTACTAAATTATTAACTTAAGAATTAAAATTAATCAGAATATTAAAATAGGAAAACCATAAAATTTTCACAGGTTAAAACTATTTATTATTGTTGAATATATGTTAAAACCTATCAGAAAGAGAAAGTTACTCTTGCCCAAAGTGATCTAGTAAATTTTCAAAAAGGCATGAAACCTTCAATTTTTAGATGATTCTTCATAATCTAGAGTGTGGCTCCAAACTTTGGGCCTGCAGTGTACTTGCTACAAAAACAACACTTAATATGATGAGGCTGTAGCTCTATAGTCAAATGGAGAGTCTAGATTAAGATAACATAGATACAAGGTATAGAATTATAGGAAATTTTCTTCATCTTTATTGCCATATTCACAATGCTTTGGATATTGTATGCTCTAGCCTTCTTTGGGTGATATACAATGGAATTTTGAACCAAACCCTTTATTTAGTTCACGAGGGTAGATTGTTCTAATTCCACATGCCATGCCTTATTTGGATATCTCAGTTTCAGTTAACTCCCTTCAGTAACTCAACTCTCCAAGTTTTTGTTCTCTCTACTGTGGCCAGGTATTGAACCCACAACTCTTTGGGTCAAGTCACTTTTTGGATTACCCAACCAACACTTTTTCAGTGGCGCTCATGTCTTTGATCTGCGACGCTTTTCAAGGTAAATCTCTGTGTTAGCAGAGAGGAACCTGAACGAGGCTTTGCGAAGGGCAAGGTTTCGTCGGGGGAGGTAGACAGGGTCTGAACCCGTCTAATCGGCTTCAAAGGCTATTTTTTTGGCCGAGCCTACGGGCTCGGAGAAACCCACAATAAAACCGGCCTTGTGCCATATTCGTTTCCCATGGGTGAAATGATAAATACTCAACCAACACTTTATCCACTAGGCCTAAGGACAGTTGGTGCATACAACGGCCGAAATGTTGTGAATATGGTAATAAAGATGAAGACAACAGTACCAAATGATGTAAATATTGTAAATAGTTACAATACCACATTTCAGAAATATAGACAGATCCTGAAGAAGGTCAGAGTGTACAACGGCTGAACTGTGAATATGGCAATAAAGATGAGGACAACTGTACCCAACGATGTATATAGTGTAAATAGTTACAATACCTCATTTCAGAAATAATAGACAGATACTGAAGAAGGTCGAACCGTACAATAGCCGAAATGTTGTGAACATGGCAATAAAGATGAGGACAACAGTACCAAATGATGTAAATAGTATAAATAGTTACAATACCTCATCTCACCTCATTATAGACAGATATTTTCATTTTTTTTTTTATTTCAGAGAGAACCTTGGAGAAAATATTATCTATCAGTGGGTAGAAGAGATTAGAAATCTGCTTGTGCAAAAAGCAGATGAGGACAATCAAGGTAAGTATTTGTTTTGCTGGAGAAATTCAAGGAGGTTTCTTCTGAATTGTTTTCATTTCAAGGATGACAATAGGAGTAACATGTTTTTTATTTTATTTTTTTTTTTACTGCCATTACCTAAGCATATTAATCCCCTGTAGGAAAAGTGGTTTACTCACGTATTCACTTACTCTCTCTTCTCTCTGTTAACCACTGTGGCATGATCTTGTCAAGATATTTGTTAATGGCAATGAACACAAGGGGAAGTGGATTCATGTCTTTCCAAAGAGGTGTATTGCCAAGAAGACAGTCTTGCTTAGAACTTTTCAGATCTTATGTTCAATGCCAATAACTGCAACATAACTTCTAAACTGCAGATGTTATATAACTATTAAAATAGCTTAAGAGAAAAAAGTTTATTATATATATATATATATATATATATATATAAAATTACTAATTTATATATATATATATATATATATATATATATATAAAATTACTAATTTATATATATATATATAATGTACACCTTCAAAGAAAAGTGATACCTAAGATTTAAAATGAACTTTTAAAAATTAAAAATCTTTCTTATTTTAGTCATAACATATACTTTTCTGAAATTTATTTTGAGGAAGATTAGCTAATTTAAAGTTTAATCAATCTGACTTTAAACAAATATTAATGACTAAACTAATTAGAGTTTAAAGTATTTTAGGAAATCATTTTTAACACAAAGTTGTGTACTTTTATGAGGTGTTGACAGCTTTATTGACAGTCTGATGTTTCAGTATTTTTTTCTACTGGGACATATCTGTAAAAATTCTTATATAACTTTTTTTAATTAAAGTAATCTTAAAAATCTAGGGAAATATTCTAAGTAATCTAATGTTTTATTGAATTGTTGGTACTTTGGCTTTAAATTTACTATAGCTCTTATTTTCTGATAAGATTATTGTCTGTATATGGACATCCATATTTATAAAAATCAACAAGTTTATATACACATACAAAAAATTCAAAATTCTTTTTAAAATACTGGGAGCTCACTGTAAGCTTTTCCATTTATGATTAGTAACTATATTTTTTACTTAATAACAATATCACCTATTACAAATTAATGCAGAATTTTAAGATTTAAACTTTATAAATTATTCTAATTAAAATTTAAAAAAAAATGAAAATAATTCTTGTAAAAATTCATTATTCGTTGAAAAAAAATTTCTTAGGAAAATAATACCCATAATATATTTGATTCATAAAAGCAATTAAAAGCTTTTCTTATTAAATAATGTCTTAGTTTTACTTCATTTTTTAATTTTATGATTCAGAGTAGATTTTTGGTAACTGGTGGTCCTGTTTTACAAAAAATAAAATTGATGATTTAAATTCTTCAAAGACTTCTGTTCATAACTAATATAAACAATAATCCACACAAAAATGAATTTGTCAAAATTTCATAAAATCAAATAAGTGGTGGGGAGTAACAGATTTAAAAAAAATATTTTTACCAAGATTTTCTAAAAAAGAAATATTTCAAAAATAATTTCATACATTTGAGAATAAGTCCTGAAAATTTGATTGAAATCCAAAAAATATTTGATTTTTTCAAGAATTTCCAAAACAATGTGTTTTTCACTGTAAAAAGATGCTAAAATTTCCTATACTAATTTATGATCTCCTGTTGATGCAAAAAAAAAAAAGAAAAAGAAATTTAACCAAAATTTTGTAGTTTCTAGAAAGGATTAAAAAAATATAATTTAATAATAAAAAAATTATTTGGTCTTTCCTCTTTATAAGAACATTAAAATTTTGATAATTTCTATAAAATTTTTGGCATTTTTCATTATGTATACTCATTTTTTTAGTGAATCTTTAGACACACACACACACACATATATATATATAAAGAAATATAGTCTTAAGGTGTGCTATATTTATGGGATAAAGTGCTTAATATCAGAGATAGAGTGTGTGTAAATATAAAAGTGAACATAGAAGCCAACACTTAGAGGTGACAGTCTGTTTCATGCTAGACACAATCGTGGCCTGATGATTGCATCTAGCATGAAACAGACTGTTGCCTATATATATATATATATATATATAGTCTGTTATCCACAAACAGACTGTTTCACTCCATACAGCTCCACAGTGTGGCTAGATATCTGATTGCTTCAAGCTGGGATCGAAACCCGACTGATTTGACATCAGACAGATATCTTACCCCTAGGCCATTGTCACCCAGCAGAAAGGAAGGGAATTTTAATGTTTTTTTTTTTCTATACGAAATAGGGCAACGACTCGGAGAACTCAATTCATACTTGAAGAGTAATGCTTAATAGCAGTAGGAGCCACTGTCTTTAAAGTTATATATATATATATATATATTAGGGAAAAAAAATTAACCATTGTTTTCCCATATATATATATATATATATATATATATATATATATATATATATTATATTTTTCTAGCAGAAGTTAGTTATCTCTTCATTCACACACACACACACATATATATATAGTGAGAGAGAGAGGGACCTTGCAATAGTCCTTAAGAAATGTGCTCCTGAACTGGCTCTCTAAACTCTACAATAAATGCTTTTCTGCTTCTTGCTTTCCTTGGTTAAGTATCTCACCTCATGTGACATTTTTCAGACAAGCAACATGGCTTTTGCTTCTCTAGGTCAACTGCTGATGTGTTAACGATTATTGCTGACAGTCTATCAAGCTTTAGATAAGAATGATGAAGCTCAGCCTTTGGATATCGCAAATACATTTAACAGAGTTTTACATGCTGGTCTCCTTCACAAATTGAAAGGTATTATGGTATTTCTGGACTAATTTTTGATCTGATTCAATCTTTCTTTTCAAATTACAAAATGAAAGTTGTCTTGAATGGTTACTATTCTAGATCTGTTCATATTAATGTGGGTGTCACCTAGGGCTGTATATTTGGATCTCTGTTGTTCTTAAGTTTCATCTTTGATCTTCCTGATGTCATCAGTTCTCAACTCAGTATCTCAGCTCATGACACAACTATTTACCATTTTTATGGTAAGTCTGATCAATTCAATAAAGTCAAATTGGCAGCTGATATAAAAAATAACCTACAATTTGTTATTAATTTTAACACCTCCAAAATGAAACTGCACTCTTTTATTAATCTTAGAGAAGCTTTTTTGACTTCCATCAGTATGGCTGATGCTGACCTCCAGGAGAATGACTCATTGTACCTTCTCAGGTTAACGTTTTCTACTGACATGGAGTGGAAAAATTATATTGAATCAATTACAAGGCCTGTTGCTAAGATAGTTGTTTCACTGTGTTGTGCTTGATAATTTTTTCTCATTAGGATCTATCTGTCTACCATTTGGTTGCATTGAAGATTGTTGTCACATTTGGTCTGCTGCTTCTGCTGTGTATTTAGAGACTCTTGAATAAAAACCAAAGAAGAATCTTCAATGTTATTGGTCCTGACCTGGCATTTCAGCTTCAGTCACTTTCCCACTGACTTTTCTCTAAATATTTTCATGGTAATTGTTCTGATGAGATTTCTTCTTTAGTACCTTGACTTTACAAATTTACAATGCAGTACTAGAGTGTCGGTTAGGTCTTATCACTTTACAGATGAAATGGTTAGATGTAACTGTAAGTTCTATGCTAGCAGTTTCTTCTGTTGCACTTCTTGCTTGTGTAACTCTCCCTGGTTTCTTTTTCTGTTATTTTTCTCTCTCCTTAATAATAATGTTTTTCTTTTTCTTGTATTTTTCCATACTTAGTAATTGCTTGCATCTTAGTGGCTTTATTGCCTTCTTTGGGTTGAAATTATATATATATATATATATATATATATATATTTATATGATGGGCCCTCCCATCACACCTAGAACTTAACAATCATACTACCCACACAAATGATTTGATTATAGTGGTAAAGGCTTGTGTAGGACTATCCATACTTTTCAGAAGAACTGAATACAGAAAACCTGGTTATCCTTGTTGTAAACTAAAAATATCAGTCTATCCTACTATTTAACCCATAGCTGGTGGGTGAAGAGATAAAGTCATAGTTTGTTGAAGGGTATTTGACAAGAATTCAAACTCAGCTCTCTGATTTCTCATTCTGGGCCCCTACCCATTACCTCCCCCACACACACATATATATGAATTACATAAAAATCAAACTCTAAAAGAAAGATTTTTTTTAACAAACATTTTAGCATTGACAAGCCCCAGGGAGATTATCCCAGGTGGGGTGGGGGTATGAAATGGCCATCAAAATGGGGTACAATTGAGTTTTTAATTTTTATGTAATTCATATGCTTTATAATAAATATATATATACTTTTGTGGATCAATTTTAATATTTTATATTATTAGGATCTAATTGGATTACTTACCCATGGATTTTTACCTATATATATATATAGTTTTCTGAACTCTAGGAGAGATGACAAGTTTTTTTCAAAGCTTACCAAAATAATTGATTTTAAGTTTAATTGAAAAAAAAACCCTAAATATTGCTCATAATAATTTAATATAATTTGCAATTCTTATTTCTTTTATTTCATTCATAATATATTGATTATTATATGTATTTGTATTGATTATATTGATTTTTTTGTGACATACAGTGGCCATTTATAATTAAGTATAACTGAAGACTTCAATGTTAAGATAAAACAGTGTTTAATTACAACTGCAAATAAATACTTAACAAGAACAAAGAAGTAAAAGTCAACTAAAGATAATTAACTATTTCAGTGAATAACTTATTAGTAGCATGGTTCGGCTTAACATCCGGTAAATCCTAAATCAAAATCATCGATGCACAATAATTCACACTAATTCAACTGGATAGTTCCACTCAATAGTCACTGCACTCAGTAGCCTGACACCACTATTTATACACCTGTTAGAAAAGATACTCATAAGTCCATGGTCATGCTCAAACTTTAGTGTTGGTAGTTACTCATTTTCTTCCTATATGACAGATTTACCATTTTTTTGTATTTGTTTTTTTGTACAGCTAACCTGAAGATCGTTTGTCTTATTTTTACTTTCTGTTTTTGCTTACCTAAAGTTATATTTATCAACTTTACACTTTCTACTTTTGTTCATTTTTTTATCAATTGATAGTTTAGATGTTAATACTCTGCCAAAACAGTAGTATAAATCATTTTTATTTTCTGTTATAAATAATGCCTTCATAATCTCTGACTATTTGAGATTAACTGCCAAATTATATTTTTCTTTCTATTACTTTTTTCCACAATTATCAAACTTTTTGATCTTTATGTTTCTTCATTTATGTAGAACTTTTTTGTAATTTGTCTTGCTTCCTTGTGTTTTTGTTTAAAAAACATATAATTTTCCAAAGATTGTCATAGCTGAGTGGGTGGTAGTAGGGACATTATAAAATGTCTCAAATACCGTCTGACAACTAAGTCCATCTTCAAGCCAACTATTAAATTTAAACCCTATTGTTCAGGGATCATATTCACCTTCAATGGCAGGATAAACTTTTTGTACAGCAATTGAAGTCAGATACAGAGTGATAAAGATTAATCAAATGGTCACCAAAATTAGTGCTTCCGTTTCCTTCAAATGTTGGATATTCAGCTAGTAATATACAGGGTGTCCATAAAGTTCGTGTGCACTTTTAAGTTATAATTTAAAAAAAAATTTTTTTTTTTTTTTTTTTACAAAAGTGCACACGAACTTTTATGGACACCCTGTATATATATATATATATATATATATATATATATATATATATATATATATATATACACACACACACATACACATATATATGGTATAAAATGACAATTGGAAAAAAATCTTAGATTTTGCTGACATGTTTCATCTTCCAACTTTTTTCAAGGCAAAAAATGAAATCGAAATGTTTTATTGTTATAGTTACATTAAAAATCCAAATTTAAAAAGATAGACGCTTATGTTCAAGCCTTTTTTTTCTGGTTAATGTAATTGGTTAATGTAATTTTCTGGTAATGTTAATTATCATTTTATACCAATCTGTCTTGTCCACAGAATTGATCTGGGAATTTAACTAAATATATATATATATATATATATATATATATATATATATATATATATATATATATATATACACTTCTGTGTCTCATAACCAACTGTTGCTTTGGATAGATAGAGCCTGGGAAGACAGCCATTTTAGTCGAAGAAAAACCCTGATTTCAAAACTCTGCTGTTTTGCAGCCATATCCAAGTACAGAAAAGGCTCTGGAAGGAAACCCAAAGAGAAACCCTGAATGTAGTTGGCTGTCAACACTAATAACCTTCTGGCAACTCTTGCAGCTAAACCAACCCCAAATGTAATGCCCTGTATTCTTTTGGATCTTGTCAGTACAGCTGAGAGTGGGGAGCCATGTGGTCTGTGCAGAAGACAACCTCCATATACCACTGCCTAGACCTGCCCCTGAAGAGGTCACTCCAGTCTCACAACCAGGTGAGAGCACACAATATGGAAGGCAGAATTTTATGGGTTATATGTCAATGCTCAACTGGTGTAGAGTTGGATGCCATGGGTTGTCATTTGATGGTAGAAGGGATCATTGTATTCCATCACTCAAATACCACCTCTCTTAAACCAGGCAGCTCCCCAGATAGTAGGATGTTGGCTTGCCATGGTCTGCTTGCAGAGTGGATGCTGAAGTTTTTGGCAAAACACGCTTTCCAAAATCTGACCGACAGATCACACAGTAGATTTTTTTTTTTTAGTATGGCTATTAATCTGAAATTTTCAGTATATAATATTCAATGAGTGTTGTTAATTTTTACCAGTAAATTAAGTGCATTGACAAGATATATTAATATATAAATGTGTATTTCATGATACTAATTAATATCTTAAATTTAACACTTTTCTGGTGATGACAGTTATTTTTGTATAGTCTTTTTTTTTATTGGAGATGCAGCAGAAGTTGAAAATCGGTTTAAAAATGTAACAATGGAACTGATGGATGATATTGATGATTCTGATTATGATGATTCTGATGAAGACTTCCTTCTACCAGAAATTTATTCAAGACATCCAGATGAAGTTTTGGATCCTGAACCAAAAAAAAATGAAGGTAAGAAAAAAAAATGTAATATTTTTCTTTAAAATAAAAAAATAAAAAAAATCCTTTCCATTTATCTATTTCTAATCTTTGTTGAATGACTTCTCAATTTAAATAGAAATCTTCCTCTATCAATGTATTCCTGGGTATGATGATAAACTACATTTGGTAGCAAGGCCTCTGATCTGGAGATTGGAGGTTTTGAGGACCACCCCTTAATTGCTGTTGTTCCCAGGTTCACCCTGATCCAGGGCGGTAACATCTGTTAGGGTCCCAACTATGGGCAAGTATTGAATGCCCAAACGAAACACTATGAAATTACAAAAATACATTTTTATAGCAAAAATACCAGCAATACATTTTTATATAAAAAGGGCCAACAATACATATTTATAGTAAAATGACCAGCAATACATTTTATCTGTAGTCAAAAGCATATAATTGCACTCATGATATTTTGATTTCGGCATTAAATAACCCATAGAGGTTGATATGTTTCTAAACAAAATCAAACAATCAACACGAAGAACTTTTTCATGGCATTAATCCATATAATATCCTAAAATTTTTTTAAAGAAATCAAACTGTATTCCAAAACTACAACCTAAAACACAAATCACTGCCTTTAGTAATTATGTTCACACAAACATGTATATGCACAAAAGCTGAGTATCATCTACCATGTATTCAATTGTAAAAGCAGAATAACATATATCGTATTTTTATTGCTTCCAATCTCCCAAGAAAATTAAATTTCAGCATTAAATGATCCATAAGGTGTTGATGTGCCATTAAACAAACAAATCAATCAATCCTCTATCAACCAAATGCATATTCACCAAAGTGTCTTTGTTGGCATTCTTTTAGACTATGACAGTCCACCTATCACACATGGTGAACCATTTACTGAAAGAAGAAGTACATTCCAGGCACATCTGGCACCAATCACCCACAAATGTCAGGTATAATTTTACTCTTTTATCAATTGCATTTTTGTCTTAACCCCACCTTTCACTTTTTGTTGTTGATCTGTATTTTGAAAATGACATAAAAAGATTTTACAAGTAATTCTTTTATATTCATACCCATACTCATTACTGTGGGAAAATGGAATCAATAAATAAAATAATAATAAGGAATAATAAAAAAAAAAAATGAAAAAAATTACATTTTCCTATGATGTTAAGAGTAAAGGAACTGGAAACATGATTACCCTCCACTTGGTTTCATAAAATGTTGTTAGGTGGCGCTGTTGAAGTCTATCAAAAGACATTTTTCTGTCTCACTTTCTTTTTCCTTTTTGCTCCAAGATGTGGAATCACATAGTAATTACATTCTCACTGGGGAATGTTAGTTTCCCTGGTCCATAGACAACTGAACTCTCTTCTCACTTTCCAATGCATGGCACTTGCACATGTTTTCAAAAACCACCTAGGAAGTAAGTCTAGCCTTCTCTTTGGTTTTTCTAACTTGGCACAAGGCTGTCAAGTGTGAGCATTGTAATGATGCTTATATTTACTAACCCTAACTTCAGAACCAAGAAAAAGAAAACAGGCATAACATAACCAAGTTTAAACCTTTCAATGATAAAGTAAGTACAAACTTTTCTTTGGTTGTTCCAACTCTGCGCAAGGCTGATTTGGGCTCGACCAAATAGGATGCTTATACTTACTTTCACTAAATTCTGGACCAAAAAGAAAATGGACATACTCGCGAGAGATTAAGAACTTTGTTTCACTACAGTCACCATAAAAAAGAATAAACAATTTGTAGTAGAACTGTTTTTGCATGCTGCTTCTTTAATTATTTACATGAGAAGACGAACCTCAACCTAAGATACACAGAAAAAAACATAACCTTTTAAATGCCATAATGTATGTGGGAATATGAAAGAAAACAATATTCAAGTCAAGAAGATTTCTGAGAAACAATAAAAAATGTTCCAATTAATGGTAAACTTGAAATAGCAGAAAAGTTAAGAAAAAAGTGCATAAAAAACAGATGCCTTTTGCAGAATATCTAGGAAGCTATATTAACAAGTAAAATAATACATTTAATACAATAATAATATAATTAAATATAAAGGATACTAGCTTAAAAGCTGTCCTGGGTATGATGATAAACTACATCCGTGTTCTGGGTAAACAATAAACTACATCCGACAGCAAGGCCTCTGATCAGGAGGTTTTGAGGAGCATGGAACCACCTCTTAATTGCTGGTGTTCCCAGGTCCACTCTGACCTAGGATGGTAGCAACTGTTAGGGTCTCAGCTATGCACAAAGTTAACCCCCAAACTGGGGTCAAAACGTATAAAAATAGGTTTTAATACCAGCAAAACATTTTTGTAAAAAATTATTACAAGCAATAAATTTTTGAAGATACGTTATTACTGGCAATACTTTTTTTGGAAAAAATATTACCAGTAATACATTTTTGGTCCTTACTTTCCATACAATTATTTTTATTTCATGGGTGACTTTCACTGGATTTGGCAATTAATTTTGATTATTCCCAAATTTATTTCCAAGTTATAAAAATTGTTATCGTACAAAAAAGTTAATCACAAAAAATCACCAAAAACAATTGCAGCAATGAAAACTTGAGCATTGTATGTGCTTGATTATTGTGCCAAACTCTTGTCACACCCCAAAAATAGGAGTAGACAGGTTGACCTATTGCCCGGTTCACACTCCTCCCCAGTCTTTTGAACAATAGTAGAGGTTTATCTCTTGTTTCCTGTTTAGGATTGAGTTTCCATTTCCCTCTTGGGTAAGTAGTAAATAGTGCCCCCTCCCCCCAAAAAAAATCAGCAGTACATGTTTATAATAAAATTTCAAACAATACATTTTTATAGTAAAATGACAATTAATACAACAGTAAAAAGTATAAAAATACATTTTTATAAAAAAATTACCAATGGTACATTTTTTTTAGTGAAATTGCTAGCAATACATTTAAAAAAAATTACCAACATATTTTATTATCTACAAACTATATATCTAAAAAAAGCATGTTTATCGTGAAAGTATAAAATTAGGTACAAAATATTTAGATTTCAGCATAAAATAAGCCATAAAGTTTGAGATGCCACTAAACAAAATCAATCAACTGGTTTCTTCTAAAGTCTACTTAACTCTATACTTCTAATGTCCTCATTTGAACTCTGAAATTTTATTTGCTAATTATTTTTTTCTCCTCAATAGTAGATAGATTCACCTATTACCCGATTCACACTCCTTCCCAGTTTTTTGAACAGAAATACAGGTTTATCACTTGTTCTCTGTTTAGGATTGTTTTTCCAGTTCTTTATAAAAAAAATTCTCATTCTCTTTTGCTTCCAGTAGTCCCTTGCATCCTACTGGCATTGTTGCCTTGCTTGGGTCGAATTGATTAAAAAAATAAACATCAACATTTCTATGGAAAGATAAAGCAGTATAATGGAGGCATTAGCCAATTGACCCGCTTTAGCATCCTAACTTGCTACATAAAAAAGGGCTACATTTATACAAAACTTTGTTGTTCCTTCACTTTTCAATAAATTTAGGGAACTTTAAACAAGGCCTCATAAAAATTAAAACTTTCACAAGGTACTCAAATTTTTTTTGACAAACATGGCTTAATATTTGTTTTTTTTTTTAATTCTTTCTTTTTTCATTGCCATTGATTGGTTTTGTTGAATCTAATTAGCCAGATTCAATCAATGTTCCATTAGTATCATTGTCCATTATTTGATCTAATATATTCCTGTCTTTTGATTGGTTCATTAAATTTATGAAATCACATTACATAATGTGTTCTCTTTATTAAATCTTCCTCACCATTCACTTATTTCAGGTGAAAATGGTTCTGGACAAATTGTTTGAGAACAGGAAAATAGTAAATGCAACTCATAATATATTTGCCTACAGGTCAGTGTTTAGTTTTCTTTATTCTTAAAATATATATTATTATGTTTTTGTTTATCCAATACAAGTCCCAAGAGCCACTCACTGTAGAGGGTTACTGAAATGAAATTATTATAACAGCATAAAAGGAGGAGATAAGAAGTGCATATTATGTAGGATAGATAATGACTGAATCTAGACTTGAAGAGGTTAAAATTGTAGTGGTTGTGAAAGCATTCTCTTTAGAGTCTGTTCCACAGAGTGACATTTCTGGAGATGAAGCTGAGTGGAACTTCCTTCTTATCAATGGAATGAAGATGAGTCAGCCCTGTGTATGTGTCATGGTGGCTCCTAATTGTGAATATTTGGACTAGTGGAACTAAGGAATGTAGCTTGTCTGAACATTTGCAATAGAGTAGCAAGTGGCTAGCAATGTTTTAGCTGTGAGGAAAGTAGTTTGGTTATGTAGAAAATAATAAATCCTCTGCAAAGCTTAGAGGATATAAGATGGCCATGTTTTCACCATTGCTTGCCTCTGAAAAATGCAAATGAGTAATGAAGGATTTTGAAAGCATTTCTTGACACATGAAATTTTCTCTCTGGAAATCTAGCTGTAGAATCTGAGCAGAGGATGCTTCCTCCAACCATGATCTAGCACTGCAGAAAAACTAGGTTTTGCCAATCACTGTTCAGTCTAGAAACAAACATAAAATCCCATATACATACACATGGCATATTGTATAAATAGATATTGTATTATTTTTATATATTTTCTTTGAAAGGATTATCCCAAATGGTTGTTCTGTGGTTATTCAAGGCTGTGAAGATGATGGAGAAACTCATGCTGGATCTCGTCTACTCCACCTTTTGAAAGTGAGAATTCTTTTCAATTGAAAATTACAACTTTAACAAACACCAAGTACTTTTCTACATTTCCTCTTATTTTTGATTTTAATTAATGGGCTTTTCTACAGAAATGCAAATCTTCAAAAAGTTATTATTTTTTCAATTTTTTTCCATTGTACTCCAAAATAATTATTTTTTCAAATTTTTTTTCCATTATACTCCAAAATAATTATTTTTTTCAAATTTAGTTTCCATTATACTCCAAAATAATTATTTTTTTCAAATTTAGTTTCCATTATACTCCAAAATAATTATTTTTTTCAAATTTAGTTTCCATTATACTCCAAAATAATTATTTTTTTCAAATTTTTTTTCCATTATACTCCAAAATAATTATTTTTTTCAAATTTAGTTTCCATTATACTCCAAAATAATTATTTTTTTCAAATTTTTTTTCCATTATACTTCAAAATAATTACTTTTTTCCATAATACTCCAAAATAATTGTTTTTTCAAATATTTTTTCCATAATACTCCAAAAATTTTTTTTCCATAATACTCCAAAATAATTATTTTTTTCAAACTTTTTTCCATTATATTCTGAAATAATTATTTTTTCCATACTAATTCAAATAATTATTTTTCAAATTTTTTTCCATTATACTTCAAAATAATTATTTTCAAATTTTTTCCATAATACTCCAAAATAATTATTTTTTCAAATTTTTTTCCATTATATTCTGAAATAATTATTTTTTTCCATACTACTCCGAAATAATTATTTTTCAAATTTTTTTTCCATAATACTCCGAAATAATTATTTTTTCAAATTTTTTTTCCATTATATTCTGAAATAATTATTTTTTTCCATACTACTCCGAAATAATTATTTTTCAAATTTTTTTTCCATAATACTCCGAAATAATTATTTTTTCAAATTTTTTTTCCATTATATTCTGAAATAATTATTTTTTTCCATACTACTCCGAAATAATTATTTTTCAAATTTTTTTCCATAATACTTCAAATAATTATTTTTCAAATTTTTTTCCATTATACTTCAAAATAATTATTTTCAAATTTTTTTCCATAATACTCCAAAATAATTATTTTTTTCAAATTTTTTCCATTATATTCTGAAATAATTATTTTTTTCCATACTACTTCAAATAATTATTTTCAAATTTTTTTCCATAATACTCCGAAATAATTATTTTTTCAAATTTTTTTTCCATTATATTCTGAAATAATTATTTTTTTCCATACTACTCCGAAATAATTATTTTTCAAATTTTTTTCCCATAATACTCCGAAATAATTATTTTTCAAATTTTTTTTCCATTATACTTCAAAATAATTATTTTTCAAATTTTTTTCCATAATACTCCAAAATAATTATTTTTTTCAAATTTTTTTCCATTATATTCTGAAATAATTATTTTTTTCCATACTACTCCGAAATAATTATTTTTCAAATTTTTTTTCCATAATACTCCGAAATAATTATTTTTCAAATTTTTTTTCCATTATACTTCAAAATAATTATTTTTTTCAAATTTTTTTCCATTATATTCTGAAATAATTATTTTTTTCCATACTACTCCGAAATAATTATTTTTCAAATTTTTTTTCCATAATACTCCGAAATAATTATTTTTCAAATTTTTTTTCCATTATACTTCAAAATAATTATTTTTCAAATTTTTTTCCATAATACTCCAAAATAATTATTTTTTCAAATTTTTTTTCCATTATACTCCAAAATAATTTTTTTCAAAAATATCTTAAGCAGATGACTGCTTAACTTCTTCACATGACATGCATGGCTGGTTTCTCTGGGTATCCCTTCTCTTCTTTTGCCTCTGATTATATCCTTTTTGACAAGGCTTCCTAAATACTAGCATGAAGCTTGATTTTGGCTAACACCAAAAGTCTCTTTGTGTTAATTTTTGTTTCCATTTACATCATGGTTTAATATCACATAAAATTTGAAATCGGCTTCAGCAACATTAAGCAAAGGGAAAAAGATAAGAATAGGCTTCAACAGCAGCAACTAAAATAGATATCACATGTAACTCTAAGAGAAAATAATGACATAATCAAGATGTTTACATTCCACACTATTTCAAATAAAAGTTTAGGAAGGAAACTCCCATCAACACTGGAAAGAGCAATAGTAACTACTGGACTCGAAGAAACCTATTTTTCTGAGAAAGATTTTATAAATTTCAACAGACAGCAGTACTGGCTGCTTGGTCAATGAATAATTCCTTATAAGGAAACAGCTAATATTAACATTATTAGTATGACCATTTTCTTTTTTTGGCTTGCATAGGGGGATCAATTTACAATGAATTTATGTAGCAAACTGAACCTCTTCTTAAAATTTAGAAAATTAAAAACAAAAAATTATTTTGATATTTGTAATCTGGAGTGATAGTAGATATTTACCCTGGTCTCCCCACTGTGACAGAATGTGATATAAGGTTGGGTTTAATGTGGGGAACCTGAGTGTACACACTTGGGCCAAGAACAAAAATTCCCCAAGCCCCCACATTCATCGGTTGCGCTGGCCTCAGTGTAAGCATCAATCCCTCTCTCTAGTGGAATGAGAGAGTGCAGCCTCGGGCATCTGTTCTCCGAGCTGGACAACTCACAGTATGATTTTCCTCAATTGCACCTCTGTCCTCCGATGAAGATGCAACTGAGAGATGAAAAAACCTTACTCGGCCTGTGCCAGTAATTTGAAAAAAAAAAAGAAAAGAATTTCTTGGTGAGGAACATTTCTGTATAAAAGCCAATTAATACATATTTTCCAATTGGACATATGTATGAAACAATTTTCATCTATTTAATAAATTTATGAAATATTACATTTTCTTCTTATTTATGATTCCATCTTTTTCATTATTAATGTATTTTATTAACAACTTTATAAAATAATGTGGGTGGAATAAATGAACACTGAAATAGACTCATGCTGAGAGTGATTCAGACTTTGAGCAATCCATCTGAAAAAGAAAAGGTCTTTCCCTTTTTTTTTTGTTTATCAAGGATGCTGCAAACAAGAAAACTATTGTGGAAAATACATTAATTGGACAAACCTATTAAACCAATCCTCACAGCTGATGAATACTTTGATAAAATGAATTAGATGAAACATTTTATTAACAAAAGAATAAGATCAATAATCTGAACAACCCTTGCAATGATAACAATTTACATAGGAAAAATGACAAGATATTATATATACTTTGTCAGATTTCAAGGAAATATTGAGGATTCAACTCAAAATTCATAATTCATATATTGATGGACATTTGCTGTTTAGTGAGTCTTTTTTCTTAAAATTTGAATTCATATACAAGAAAACATTCATATCCCCAACAATGTCTGGCTTTTATGACTGTAAATGTATAAAATGCAAAGGCATTTTTAACTTTCTTTTTTTCAGTCATACACTAGTGAGGGATAGTACATCTTATTGGCTGAAAAATATGGTAAATTTATGGCTGTATCATGTTGAAACATTGATTACCGTACAGTCACTGAAGTTAAGCAACATTGAGCCAGGACAGTATCTGGATACTTGAAATTTACCAGGTGCTGTAAGATTGGATATGCAGGTGGTGTAATTGATAATGGTTTGGAATTGTTCATCAGAGGGCTGAGTTCCAATAACAGTTGGGTTCATTATATTCACTTACGCTGAAATACCATTGGGAAAGGTATGAATCCACCTCTTATCTCCCCAGCTATGGGTTAATTAGTAAGACTTGTTTCACTAAATCATTAGTATCTCCAAAAATAAATTCTTACAATCTAAAAATATTTTCTGAGTCCAATTACAGACTGCCTGACCCAGGGATTGAATGAACTCGCAACCATTATGTCACTAAATTCATGAACCAACACTTTAATCCACTAGGCCATTGTCTCATAGGACAATTTACTGTAGTGAAATTGGAATCTTAAATCTGACCTGCCTGCTGATTAATAAAAATAGTACACTATAATGCACAATAGTACACAATAGTACATTATAACACACAATAGTACACTATAATACACAATAGTACATCTCATAGGCTGAAAAATATGGTATACTATCTTCATGATGAGTAGTAGATCTCATACTGTAATAAATATGATATCTAACATTTTTTTTAATGTTCTGGTTTAGTGAAGTTTTTATGTTGGATATAAGCATTTCTGATTTTATGTTACAGATAATTGATGCCGCCAATGTGATGGTGGTGGTATCACGTTGGTTTGGTGGTATCTTGCTTGGACCTGATCGTTTCAAGCACATAAACAATGCTGCCCGACAACTCTGTGATCAGTGTGGCTACATCAAAGTAAAAGTAAGAAAATTGTTTCAATAAAATTTTCAATGTTTAAGCTTTCTATATTTTAATGTATTTTTGCAGATTTTGTGAATATTAGACTGATTGCAAACTTTAAAGTTGCTTTGTGTTTATTTTCCTATTTTTCTAGAGGTTTTATTCTTTTTAGGTATGATTTGGTCACAATAGTTTTGATTAAAATGTTTAAATTTTGGTTTTAATTACAAGAAAATAACAAAGTTTGTCATTAAAAATACTTTTGTGTACTTAGAATAATTTTAAACATCCATGCGAATTTCTGTTCAATGAGGAGGACATTATTGATGAGGACTTATCATTATTTCAATTATTTACATTTGAACTAATATCCTCATCTTTGTTGCTATTATCACAACATTTCATCCATCTTACCCATTGGCCTTCTTCAGGTGTCTGTTGATAGAGTTATCAATTCAAAATTCCCTGAAAGTTACCCAAATCAGCAGATACTTGAAAAAACAATCCACAATGGATAAAACATTGTGATAATAACAACAAAGATGAAAATATTAGTCCAAATGTAAATAATAATTTCAAACTGTTTTTAATTCTCAAATTCACTTATATATTTTGCCCTATTGATGATATGTCAACACCTGTCAAAGGTAGTTTAATTGAACTGCAGAAAAAATAGCTAAATAAATTCTGATTCTGATAAAAAGTAGTTAATTTAATGGTTACTGGATGCTTACAAAATATTACTTAAAACATTTTGAAAAATACATTTGCTCCCTTCAAGTGTTTGCACCTGTGGGATCAAAAAGTTTCAAAATGTGTTGAAATTTATATATGTATTGTGTACAACAATTTATGGATGATCAAAATGGCAAAAAGGAAAACTGCATTTTAATTGCCCAGATAATTAATAAACTTGTATGCTAAAAATAAAATCATTGAATCAAATAGACACCTTAAGTAGAATTAAATAGACAGAGGTTGACAAATACTTGAAGACCATTTCACCCCAAGAAAGGTAATAATGCTACTAAGATGCAAAGGGTTACTGGGAGTAAAAGAGAACGTGAAGACAGAAAGCCTGGACCTTTGTAACCACAAAAAACTGTCAAAAGGACACCTTTTCATTGACACTGCTATTATTTTAACTACCTTCTATTCTTAGTAATGTGTATTGTTTTAAAAAGCAATGCCTTTAATTGGAATAAAACCTAAACATATGATGAAAGTGAATTTTTACATTTTTATTTGTTCTTGAGAATTTACAACAAAAATATTAATTACTGTTTATTTATTAGGTTGTTTATTTACAAGAATAATTTTCTCTTTGCAACATTCTAAAACCAATACAATGCAATATTTACCATTTACCAATTTATAAAGAAATAAATATGAAAATAATTTTTTATTAATAAATTTCTAAACATTTACTACATTATTAAAATATGTGAAAATCCTTATTATTTACCATTTTATAAAATTTGAATCAATTGGTAATTAGCCAATGTTTTGCTAACCATTCCAATAAACAATATAATAGCATTTATTATTTTTGTTATTTATTCTCAAGAACAAAGAAAATGTATAAATTCACTTTCATATGTTTAGGCTTTATTACAATAGCTATCATCACTTTTAAAAAATGAACATTTCTGAAGTGTGAAGGTAGTTAAAATAATAGTGGTGTCAAGGGAGACCATCCTTTTGACACTCCATTTTTTGTGGGCATGAAGGTCCATGTTTATTGAGAAGACGTTAGTGAGGAGAAAGGACAATAAAAGTACAGGTTTCATGAAGACAGAAGATAGTAATTGGCATTGCATTTAAATTTTAAAGATTGTAGGGAAGCAAGAAACTGTAAGATAATTTCACAGGTGAGAAGTGCAAGAAAAGTAATTATTAGAATAGAACATATGGTTGCATCTAGCTAGCTCAACAATGAAATGGTGAGACCTAATTGCCACTCTAGTAGTATGATTAAATTCATGAAATCAAGGTACCAAGAGGAAATATTTGTAGAAAAGACAGCAGGAAGCCATGTCACAGTGGTGGGAAAATCAAGATGCCAGGTCAGGATTGATTACATTACAAGACCCTTCTTTGGATTTTGTCAAGAATCTTGAGATATACAGCAGGGGCACCAGACCAGATATAACAGCAATATTCAATGCACAGACGAATGGTAGATTTATAAATGTTCAAGATGGATTCTGATGAGAAGAATTGTCTGGCCCAACACAGTGAACCAACTTTAAAATTTAGAACCACCAATAACTAAAGTGGAAAGGGAAGTGTATAAAATGGTATCTAGTTGTTGATAGGTGGATAAGAGTTTGATTCAACCTGACTGGGTCAATCAAAAAAGGGTTGTTATATTGAAAGACCTGAAAAAAAAATCAATGATCCCAGTTAGAAAATTTTCTTTCAACCATATCTGAGGAACTATAAACCTTACTCTCATCCATACTTGGTGAACTATAAAATATGTTTACAACACAATTACTTTGGCTCTAAATGAAACACAAGAGGTTGAGGGGCCATTGAACACAATCAATCATTAAAATGGGATAGCAATTAAAAAAAATAGTGAAACTTGCTTAAAAGCTCATTTGACACTATTAAGAGCTACAAAGAACAGGAAATTGTGGGGATCTATAATCGCCTACATCCTGAGAGAGACAGCATATAAAGAATTGTTAAATTTCAATCATTCAGAGCAAATCTGGGTCAATCAAGAAAGGGTTCTGATATTGAAAGACCTGAAAAGACCCAATGATCCCAGTTATAAAACATCACTGACAATACCCTTCCGCAGCATAATGGAAAAGTATATTTCGCAAACTAGGGGAAAATAAAAGGAAGGAGAAATTATAACCTTTTTTTTGCTCTCTTAATTTAAAATGGAATAGCAACCAATATATGTACTATATCAGGAGTCATATATAATCAGGCATATACTATTGAAATGTTGCAGCTTCCTGGAAATCCAAAACAAGTATTACAGAACAAACAATTTTAGAGAACTTTTTGAAAGCTTTAAAAATTGATAACAAACTATGAAATAAAAAAAATGTTTATAAAAACAAAAAAATTTCCTTTAATCATTCTTGACGAACAATAAAATTTCTTCTCTACCATACTTGGAAAATTTTCCTTCAACCATACCTAAGAAACTATAAAATTTTCTTTCAACCATATCTGAAGAACTATAAACCTTACTCTCATCCATACTTGATCAACTATAAAATATGTTTACAACACAATCAATTGGCTCTAAATGACCCACAAAAGGTTGAGTGATTGTTAAACACGTTCAATCATTAAAATGGGATAGCAATTAAAAAAAATATATTAGTGAAACGTGCTTAAAAGTTCATTTGACACTATTAAGAGCTACAAAGGACAGGAAATTGTGGAGATCCATGATCGCCTATATCCTGAGAGAGCATATGAAAAATTGTTAAATTTCAATCATTCAGAGCAAATTATGTGGAAAAAAATAAGGGAGATGATTTTGTTTTGGTTGAAGAAATATTTTTAATAATTACTTGTGTTTGAGTCAACACTTAGTTTTTATTTTAAACATTATTTATTCAATAACTCTCTATATTTCTGAGATGAGGTATTGTAACTATTTACATCGTTTGGACTGTTGTGCTCATCTTTATTGACATATTCACAACATTTCGGCTATTGTTTAATCTCTGGCCTTCTTCAGGTGATATATGTTGGACCTGAAGAAGGTCGGAGCATACAGCAGCCGAAACATTGTGAATATGGCAATAAAGATGAGCACAACAGTTCAAACGATGTAAACAGTGTAAATAGTATTTATTTTGTTTACTAGCTTCACACTCGATTAAAGAAAATGTACCCTCTAGCAGAATTTGAACCTACATCCCCCTTTGCAGGAGAAACTACTGCCTGATCCAGTGTGCTTTAACCACTCGGCCATGAAGAGCTTCACAGTCAAGCAAGGTTCTATTTGCCTTTAAAGCACACTCACTTGTTCAGGTTTCTTGAAAAGCATATCTGCTCTATTTCATATCCAAAATGTAAACAATGCAATTTCTAAAGAAATAAATATTTTTAATCAAAGATATTTTTATAACTTCAAACATCATTTTTACTGTATCCTCATTATTGAGTAGATGCTCTGTTTTTATTTTAGACCATATTTATTTCATCTATATATGTAATCATTAGAATGTGAATTTGATGTTGTTTGGGGGCAAATTTTTGTAATTAATTCACCACTACCTTCTCCTCTTCCTATTTAGAATCTAGTTAATTTACTAACAGATTTTTCATAATTTTCTTGTTATTTTACTAAATAAGTAAATTATAATGATTGTAAATAATAAAAAAATACTCAATGCAAGTTTTTTTTTCAGACTGATGACAAACACGGAAGAAAAAACAAAAAATAGAATGAATGCTCCAAATTGAATTCAATTTTGAATTCTGTGATTTACGGATTGTTTTATGATAAAAAGAGAAAAATCCTATTTTTCCAAAATGTCCAAAATTTAATTTTTAGTGGAACAAAATCTGTGAAAATTATATTTATAAAAGTTGCATTTTCCAACAATTGTCTTTGTTATTCTTTTTAATTGAAAAAATACAAAATTTTACTTTTGTTCATATTACTGAACTAAATAAGTTAATGCAAATTGCATTGTTTATTTGCTGTCTACGACACGCTTCATAGACCATATACAAGGCCGTCTAAAAAAAAAATATGATGTCCTCCACTTTAAGTGAAAACTAAGAAGTCAAAAATATTGTCACTGATTAATACTTCCACTGCTGTAGATCTTTATAAAGCTTACATTGCCTGCTGTCAGTGTCTGTGTGTGTGTGTATATATATATATATGTATATATATATATATATATATATTTTCCCCAAACTTATATTATCTGTTGTTGTTATATATACTTTTTCATTCTCTAACGTTTGTGTTATAAACTAACAGGCACCAAATGCTATTTCCAAACCAGCGTAAACATAGTACAAACCTGTTTTGTAACATATTTCCGTGAAATGGAAAACTATGTCAATTTTTAATCATCTTATTTGTACCCTCTTACTTCCTTAAATAATGACCTGCATTCAAACTTATGATTGTTATTTGAATTTATTGTTAAAGTTGTTAAGCTCAAATATTTAATGATGCAATAGGAAAAATTCCATGTGTATTTTATAGTTGTGGAATTTGCAAGGAGTATCAGAATTCAAATAGAAAAACCATAGAATTTTCACAGGTACCGCTAGATATATATTAGTTCAAATACCACAGACTTGTAAAAAACAGTATTTCAAAATACTTAGAAAGAGGAGATAATTCAAAAATCTTCTCATTTTAAAAATTTTGTATTATATATTAGGTTTGTGTTTCTCAACCTTTTTAAGCAATGGCACACCTAGGATAAAATTAAAATATCACGACACACTTAGCAAAATTTTTAAAGGGTATTTTAAAAAATGAATATTAAAACAAAGTATTTAAAATAACATAAAAGAATCGTGAAAAAAATTATTTGAAAAAAAGAGTTTAATACCGTAATTTCTCGAAAATAATACACCCATAAATAATACGTACCCCAACAAATGATCTAAATTTAAGAAATATATCTATCCCTATGTATAATATGTATCTATAAATTTTGTCAAAAAAAAAAAAAAAAAAATTATGAAGACATTTTGTCGACCTTGACATTAAGAATAAAATCAAAACTAAGCGGCTAAAATAATGTTGAAAATTACCATGTGCTTTTCTTGATAAATATAACATTTTATTTTACCACCAAAATGTTGTTAAAACGTGCGAGTTATAGTGCAAATTTTAAACAAAAAGTAATAGAATTATCAGAAAGAATAGGAAACAGCTGCAGCTAAAGAGTATGAGAATTTGGTAAGAGAATGAAGAGGCTGAAGATAATTTTGAACAGGACAAAGATAATATTGTGAATGATAATTTGTTTAATGACAATTTAGATATTGAATCTATAATAGAAAGTGATGATGATGAAAATTAAAATTTCAACAAATCGTTAACTTGATATCCTCTTTTCTTTGAAAAAGGCTTTTTTATAGAGTTTTTGATTTTGTCGCCAAATAAAACGTGGTTACTGATAAACATAAATTTATTGACAAACAAAAAATGTTACAATTATTATTGTTGGATTTAAAATGAAAATTGGGATAATATTTTCCTTATTTTAGAACAAGTACGTATTTATTATTATAAATCAATAACGAAAAAAATATTTTTGTTTAAACCTATTTATAATACTGTCACCTGTAATTTATAGTAAAAAAAATACTGTCACTTGTAATTTATAGTAAAAAAAAATGCATATTATTTTTGAGAAATTATGGTACTTATTAATATTAACGATATGCCATTACTACTTCCAATCATACATATGCTGTGACAATATTTCACAGCACGGCAGCTGAGAATCACTATTAGCCTGTGCTACCTTGTCCAAATGTATTAGTCACTTACTTTTTTAAATTGTTAATGGCTTAAATAAATTATCAAATATAGTAAATAAGATCAGGAAAACAAGAATTAAGAAACATTGTTATGAATAAAAGTGCATTTAAAAATAAACTACCCAAAATTTCTACTACAGCTATGTTACATTGAAACACCGGCTCTTGTACAAACACCAAAGCTAATGTTGAGTCCTGTCAGTACCCAGATGGGTGACTGTCTGAGAATAACAGTGTCGGAGTTAACTCCTCCTTTAGTACATTAACCCTTTCACCAGGGGTCGCTCTTCGCTGCTATAAATAGCTGCGGACCCATCGCCTCTTTCTCTCTTTTTTCCCTCACGCCTTCGCGTGGACACCTAGAGGTAAATCTCTCTTTTTCCTCAGGCTTGCAGCTATCAACCTCGAAATGTAGGTGCTAACAAGGGATAGCGTTTCCCAAATGCTGGGAGCGCGCTAAGCACAATACACACACACACATGCACATACAGAATATTCACACACACTTCGTCCTTTGTACTCTTTCCATGTATTGTAACTTGTTATTAATATATATTTGTATATACATATATTATCGGTCTTGTGTTTTGTTTCCTTTTCTTTGCCTTCTTCTTTGGACTTAATCAGAGTCCAACCTTTTTATGTAGCTGGGCCCGGCGGGCAGGAGTATCTGAACCTTACATGCATTTCATCTACTTCTACCAACAATATAACAGCCACGGCCCACTACAACAGGTGCTGTAAGGTTGGATATGCAGGTGGTGCAATGGATAACAGCTTGGAATTGGAACTTGGATAGCCAAGTTCCATTTCCAGTCAAGTTCGTTAAATTCACTTACGCACAAAATACCCTTTGAGAAAAGGTATGAATCCACCCAATCTCCTCCCAGCTATAGGTTAATTAGTAGGATTTTTATCAATAAATCATTATCATCACTAAAAAATCCTTACAATCTAAAAATAAATTCTGGCTTACAAAAGCTGATAAGCCATAAAAATCAATCAACCAAAGTTTCTATACTTTTGGTAAAAGAACTTGTGAATGAATCTTGTAAATCTGAAAGAAGACTATCCTTTGCCACATTTTATAGACTGGCGCTACAAAATCAAAAAGAATTATACCAAATAATGAAAACTACATCACTTGAACACTTTCAACAGCAAAAGATTAGTAGTTCATCTAACTAGAATATAAAATAATGATATAATCAAGATGTTATCTTTCCACACTACCTTAAATGGAAACTCCCATCACTAATAGAAAGAGCTATAACAGTTTGTTGAACTCAAGCAGTCTAATTTTAGTAAAAAAAAATATGATATCAGCTGACAGTAATGCCAACCATTAAAAATAGTTCAATGAAAGCGAAATGTTTCCTGTATGGAATCGGATAATCTCACCATTACGTTTGTATTTAGTCCTCCTTCTTAACACTTTCCTCTCTATGCCTTTTTAAAAAATTGTTACCATTTCTATGCTCAACTTGCAAAAGATTAATATGCACAACTGATTTTTGAAGATCAAAGTTGGCTGGAAGTGAGTTCCACAAGTAATAAGTGTGAGTAAAGAAAATGTTAGCATAGAACTTAAGGTTACATCTAAATTAAAAGTAAAATGATTAAATCTAGCTGCCAACCTAATACAGTGCTTAAATTTATAAAGATGAAGTACCAAATAGGAAAGCTCATCAGAACAAATGAAAATATTTATAGAAATGCATAGGGAATTTATCCATCACAATCTGTTTATATCTACCTGTCTTTGTTCATTATCTACCATGGTCTCTTCGTATCTATCACAATCTGTTTATATCTACCTGTCTTTGTTCATTATCTACCATGATCTCTTCGTATCTATCACAATCTGTTTATATCTACCTGTCTTTGTTCATTATCTACCATGATCTCTTCGTATCTATCACAATCTGTTTATATCTACCTGTCTTTGTTCATTATCTACCATGGTCTCTTCGTATCTATCACAATCTGTTTATATCTACCTGTCTTTGTTCATTATCTACCATGATCTCTTCATATCTATCACAATCTGTTTATATCTATCTTCCTGCCATGATCTGTTCATATTTATCTATCTTGTTTGAAAGAATATGATAAACAAAAAACGCTATGAAAGAGAGAGGACAATAAAAGAACAGAAATTAAGAAAACAGAAGATAATAATAGACATTGCATTTAAATTTTTGAAGATCAAAGTTGACTGTAAATCAAGAGGCTGGGAGTGAGTTCCACAAGTGAGAAGTGAGAGAAGAAAAAATGTTAGCATAGAATTTACAGTTACATCCTGCCATTTCAACTGTAAAATGATTAGACCTAACTGCCAACCTAGTACTGAAATTCATAAAACCTAGATGCCAAATAGGAAAGCTCATTAGAACAATCACCATAAAAATATTTATAGAAAAAGGCTCAGGAAAGCTATCTATCTACTTTCTACAATACTAAAACAATAAGTTTGGAAAGAAACTCTTACCACTAATAGAATGATTTATCACAGTGAAAAGCTTAAAAGTTTAATTTCTTGAAAAAACTGTTTTTAGAAAAAGATTTTATAAATTTCAACTGACAATAATGCTGTTTGATCAATGGAAGTTAAATGTTTCCTGCAGGGCCTGTGCATACTACTCTCCAAATCTCCCAACTGGGGGAGGGGAGCCTGATTGCAGGCCCTGGGCAGTGTTCTGTGACCTTTGCTATGTTATCAACATTTACTTTTTTTTCTATCTACATTTATATACGTTACAAATTAAACTAAGCACGACTGACTATTAAAGGATGAAAATTTTTTGCGGATTTTGACGTCAATATGGGGGATTCTTTCTCATCCAAATCTGCAAAATTTGTTTTGCTCATGCTAAGTCTCACAAGAACTATATTAAATTCACTATTTTTTGTCCATAATGTTGAA